CAATAAAAATAATCAAGTCTTTTCCTAAAACTCCACGTTACTTTTTTAACTTCTCGGAAATATTTTCAAAGAGATTCTTATAACGGGGTACAAGTGTCGTCTCCGATAGTCCCGATTTCTCGATCCCGGTTATTTATGTTCCCGGTTTCGGGAATCGATATTGATGTCACTAAGCTCGCGGCTTAGTAATAATAAATTCATTTCGGTTCGTAGGATATCCTGAATTATTACGAATTTTTTTTAAAGAGCTAATTTAAAAGGACCGGTTTTAGGGTAAAAGTTACAATTTAAATGTTACTCGAGGACCAACAAAGGTTACTTTATTTTTGTCTTTTTAAATATCAAGTGACGGGACGAACAAGTCGTGTGTCTGGTGTAAGCTATCCGCCTGTCCTTAGCAGTTGTAGTGCCACTCAGAGCTTTAAATTGCAAAGATTTTTGAAAGAAGTCCTTTCCCACATTGGTTTTACTATGATTCAAAATGAGGGTTCATCTAGCGTCGACAGTGTTTACGCTGAGCTACCGAGTTCTTCAATGACAACTATGTAGACGTATGAAATTTTTACTGCTTCCATGGCCAAATGGTGGTGGCCAAAGATCCAGAGGCGATTCCCGGGCCGGGAGAACTATTGTATGACCTACATTTATTTCTCTCGTGAGTTTTTCAAAACCGGAACGCTGTGCCACTCAGAGCTTACATTACTGCTTGGCGGCAGAAATAGGTTAATTGGCAGTACTTCCCTGGACGAACTCTTTTACAAGGAGCTCTACGGATATAAGTTGACAAGTCCCGTGTGCCTATAATTTCACCAGCATTATATGTGTAATAATTTTACAACGCCCTTGGTAATCGCAAGTAGAGCTGTAATTTTCTATACAAATACTTTACGCAGTTGGCGACTGCTAATATCAAAGCTGAAATTTTGCAGTAGATGTGTTTTTACGTTTTAAATTGCTGGAGTACTTTCTGTGGAGAGTGGTATTAATATTTAATCCTTGAATATTCTTCTGTCGGTTTCGCAACAAGGATTATTTCGAATATTTCGCCGTAAGAAAATGTCTAATTTGCATTTATTGCGGACGAAAACCATTAATTTAATTCATGGTCCGGAATGGTGGCATGATATCAACAGAGAAAATTGTTTTACGGCTACGGCATTGGATCTTTATCGACTTTTTTTTGTTATGTTCAAATATGTGCGCATTTGACCTCCATCTCACCGGATGACGTCTACGATAGATCATCCACATCTAAATAATGCCTTTTCACTCTCGTCTTTAAAAGGCCCCAATTATAACTTTCAGTTAATATGTTTGCAAGCCCGGAATTCTGCCGTCCACTAACTAAAATGCTAAGTGACAAAATATTTTTATGAGATATCATAAAAAACCATAACCAAGTTTTGAATATTGAAATTATTATAATACGTTAACTAAAGTTAACAGTTTTGAAAAGAGAATTTTGTGCTCTATTTTTTGCTATATAAAACGGTTATTTGACCATTTGTCACTTAGTCTCGTTTTAGTTAGTGGACGGCAGAATTCCACTCCACAGCCGTTCGCCATATAAATGTGGAAGCATAACACTTCGTGCGAATCTTTGAAATATCCACAACATAGGGGTGGAACCCCTGCCCATGTTTAGCATCTCGATGATGGAAAAAGGAAGGCGGAATTAAATCATGCAATTTAATTCTGACAACCAGGCATATTTACAGCAGTGTTCAAGGCTTTGCAGCTTCGCCTCAACTGAATATCTATTAGCCTCTTAGAATCCAAGGTGACCAGTTGTTATTTATCAGAGCCATTCCATATATGGCAGCAGTTGCCGACGAACAAACTGGCCGAACGGTTACCATGCTGGTTTGCCACGCAGAGGTCCCGCGTTCGATTCCCGGGCCGGCAGAAGTATTTGTATGGCCTACCTTTATTTCTCTCGTGAGTTTGGATGTATTTGTGATTGTCTATGTGTGTGTACATGGCATACGCGTTACGGTTTTCCCTATTGTAGAGCTATGAGTGTGTGCCTTAATATCGTCTAATTTTATTTACTTAGTGCCTAGTAGACAATTGTCTACAACTATTTGATTTGTATGCTTGATATTATGCTTTTTAAATTACTCAATTGTTATTGAAATCGATTACTTTCTTTGTGTAATTGTTGCTTAATGTCAAATTTTATTCACTTAGTTCCTAAATGTCTACAGTTATTTTAATATTGCTTTTTTTTTGTACGTAATGTGTAACTTATAGTAATTTATTTTAGTGTGGTGTTCCATATTATGAGCGAGGACACAGCGAGGGCTGTTTAAATTAGCATAGTCCTCAGAGGCTAAGTCATGGCCCTTTTGACATACTTCTTTTTATTTATTTTTTTACTTTAAGTTGAATTTATTTTTATTCATATTTTTTGTTTGAAATTTATGTATTTTGCATATTGAATAAAGACTATTTTATTTTTATTTATTTTTATTGTTATTATACACGACCAGAGTTGTGCTTCGTTATGTTGAAGCAACTGTCCCGGTGTGAAGTAACAGGACTGGCGTGCTCAAATCTTATTAACAAATTGAAATAACAATTATAACTTTGACAGCTATGGTTAATATTGTTATGAAGTCTATACTTCGAAGGTCTACGAAACGTCTTGCAAAGACTGGACAGTTTTAGTTTAGTTTTAGTAGTTTAGTAGAATAAGGCCCAAAAACGTCTCCCTGTGGTACACTCATCATACCCAGTAGGAAGTTACTTTGAAACAGTGATTACTTCAATGTTAGCTTATACTATATCTCTAGTTACATTCAAGAATAGCTCAACCAGCAAACAGAGGGCTGGGTACTTGTAAACATTTACAAAAAGCACTCGCTTCCCCCGTCGGGCTATTTCGGTCGGCGGAAGCCACGTGCGTTTTGTTACTAGTAATGTTAACTATAACCCGGTTTTCTATACCGGGTTATAGTTAACATTATATATGATGAATAAATATGGCTGTAACTAAGCGTGACTGGTAGGATGTGAATGTAGAATAAATTTGGGCTCAGTAGCCTGCCTTGGGTGACGCCTATATAAAGTAGGTTAAAGTAAGCAGGTAAATAAATCATTTTAAAAGGATAATTATTTGAATAATAAACCTGCAAGAGCTTAACGCTTCAATATCACGGATTTTTGCCTTTAGTATAAAGTTTTTGTTTCACTATAGTTTTAAAGGGTAACTCACGTGTCCCTAAGTGTCACCATGTCCCCCAACTACTAAGACGTGCTAGATGCGCACGAGACGGACGTGGACGCTCCGGCCACACATTACCGGGGCAGACGATCATGTCGTAGTCGTCGTCGATCATCGCGTCAGTAGATAGGTACAATCCCATATCTTTTCTACTTAAGTTCTGTTTATAGTGACCCACCCTATCAACCTTTAGGTTATACGGGAAGGGCACTTTAACCTGTGCAAGCAAGCTCACACAGGGACTTACTCAGTCAGGTCCTGACCCCAGATCAGCCCGTTTGCACGGACTTCATCCGGATCTCAAAAGGCTGCCTTGGGTGAGCCGTCCGGGGTGCACGCGCGGTACCCTTCCTATTTTCCAGACAATTACCGGAGCTGTAGGCACGCTCACTTCCCGTTGTGCTTTGCGCAACTAACGGTTGCCACCACTAAGTCTTTGACTTTAAAGTCCACTACCAAATCTCCTCTTTAGTGGTGGAACCTCCTGTAACCTAAGCGGCTGGAGGGATCGGAGGACACTCTACTAGCTCTCCGGGCTAATGCCGGAGATGCCAGGTGCGACAATGTCCGGACATTGCTTCCGACTTAAAGGGCAATTCACGTGTCCCGTACGTCTCCTCGCCTTAGTCGTCCAAACCGCTACTAAGACGCGCTAGCTACGCGCGAGACGAACGCACCGGCCACACATCACTGGGGCAGATGAACGTGTTCGACCTTGCAGCTAACCACAAACCCCATGAAGGCGTATCACTGGCGGAGGTCTTGGTCCGGACTCCCGCCGTACACTGCTCTTGCCGTCGAGTCCGTAGTCTCACCGGAAAACCTTATCTCTCGGGTCGGTAGATAGGAACAACTATTAATTAATTAAGAAAATGGTCAATCGAGGTCTTCTTATCGTATCAATGGAATATTATTTAGCTAGAAACCTCCATTAAATAGCCAGCTAGAGCACGCCAATCGAGGTATAGTATAATAATCTACATCCATATCATTATCACTCAATTTTGAACAACGAAACGCCTGACTATTTTGTCCGATAATCTAGCCGCGGAAACGCCTAATTTCCTACCAGAAACGCCTGATTGTTTTGTTCGACAAAATATCGTTTAAACGACACTTATATTAATTTATTTCCATATTGCACATGTAAAAGTATTAAATAAAATTTTGCATGGTGCATTACCCAGTCAGGGTGTAGTGAAGAGATATAAATAATAATGATTAAATTATTATACTATAAACGTAAATAATTAAAATTAATGAGATCGACTAGAGATTTACGTCAGTTGTGACTTTATTTTTCAGTTAGGATTTCTTGTATACTTAAGTTTTATTGATGAGAAATTGTTTTAGTTTATTTTTAAAAGTGTTTGTTCGGGGTAGTGGTGATTGTTGTTGTTGATTGTGGAAACTTTGTTGCCCAAAATAATTAAAATTATGTTATGTTAAATGTTAATGTTATAAATACGTTCGATCTGTATCTACTTACTGAAATGCATTAAAGTACAGAGGTTCGCTGACGCGTACCGCCAAACGCTAACGTTAAAGGTGTTCGATTACATAGAACAGTCTCGGAGGCAAAGCGCTAACAAGGGCGTGAATGTGTGAGATACATCCATCCATGTTTATAAAATGTTAGTAATGAAGTAATGATACAAACGATAAAACAATTCGAATGTTAGTAAACTTACGAGTATCTATGTCGCGGGGCACGGTGCAGTGTGTTAATCGCATTAGGTTGAGTGAGGATCAGGTTATATTGGCGACAGGGACTTTTATTAAATTCAAAACATGTTGATTGCTTACGGACAAACAATGCTACTTCACAACGATAATGATCGAATCAACGGGACAACTACCTCTTTGGTGGATATTTTCAATAACACGTAGACATTTTTATTAAGATAAACAGCTTTTGTGCATCAGTACTTAATATTTGTATTTGACAGGTGAACTAGCTTGCGATCTCCACCGACTCGGCTAGAACCCGTTTTCTCTTTTGAGATATTCACTTTTCGAGCTACTGATACACAATCTCAATAAAAATGTTTGTCCACAGGTAGTAGACATGCGCTGGGGCGTCCGAGATGAGGCCACCGACGATCACATGACCACAGAACTTTGTATGCGGGAAATCAAGAATTGCCAGCGGCTGTCCATGGGTCCGAACTTCGTGGTGTTCTTGGGCCAAAAATATGGATACAGGTATGCCATAATCGTCATCAAATTTCAAGTGTAGAGATGCAATACTATGTATGCTTTGTTTACATTTTCGACATTTTATATGATTCATATTATCTATAGTTGGCAATCTCGTATAATTTTTCCTTTTTCCAGACCAATACCGACATACGTCCTATCGTCAGAGCTGCAGATGCTCCGTGATGAACTGGCAGCTGGAGGCGTCGATGTCATACTTCTGGACACCTGGTATAAAAAGGATTCGAACGCTGTACCTCCGGTGTCTGTATTGCAGCCTATATCTTCCATTTTGATTAATTTCAATAACAAGGCAAGTGTGGTTTTACTTCATATGCCTATTCATTATAACGGTTTCTACTTTAATATAATATTGAGAGTGTATCAAAAGTACGCTCATGGTGGACAAAAATTACATGACAAAAACTGTATTTCAAATTTGATTTTGGATAATTAAAGCTATATTGTCCATACCATAACATTTGCTATACAATTTGCTATAAGTATTTGATAAAAAAAGAATTATGTACATGGCACATCGAGTATAAAATAAGAAATAGATACGAAATGTCATTTAATATGTTTAAAACTATTCTGCCCGAATTCAAAACAATGACAATGGGTGTCGTCAATTGTTTCACTTCAAATCGATCAGTTAGCATGAGCTTTGCTATAATGGACGAAAATTGCAAAATTACATACCTATTTAATATTTAATTACCGATGAAATTTGATTCCGTTTGTTTTGTAATAAGATGTTTTGCTGTTTTTCCACACACCGCCCAAATGGAATAGCACGCCATTGTTAGAGATATTATCTTTATTACAATAAATACAAAATATTTTTGGAATATACGGAGACGTACACACATGTCAGTTATTGGCGCTGTCTATATTTCAGTGCAAACGAGAGTTGATATTTATAACTGATGTATCACTGATGACTTACCAGGAATGTATTGTCCTTATTTCGTCTCTATTTCTGGTTATATACTCGATGACATGGTATAAGAGAAAAACTCGCATGTTAGAGGGAAATGCGGAAAAATAACTCTATTTCAACTTCGAATTTGCGTGTCTAAAACAATGGTGGTATAAATAATCACGGCAATGTTTGCTATAAAATTCGCAACGCAATGTTACATTTCGTATCGTGAATTTTTTTATGCCCTTTTTGGTACGCACGGAAATGCGTTATGATGAAGATATAACAATAATGCTGGAGTACTGGAAATTCATAGAAAAAACATTTCAATTTCAAATGCGACTTTGCGTGACTGATACAATGATATCAATACAACAAAATTTGCTGGAATTGCGTCATGCAAATAAAGACGGCAACCGGTAAACTTCTGTCACTTATTTATTTAAAAAAAATTGTCTCGCTGCCTATCACCGAAAAGCTCTAGAAACATTTATCAACAGAGATGGGCTGTGGGTTAAAACCCCATCAAACCGCTCGGCATGTAACCGGGTTTTTACCCATAGATGTTTTTTAACTCATTTTAACTAATTTCTGCCCATAAGCACATTACGCGTAAAATAATACGGAATTTGGTATAATTCCATACTTCTTAGAAACTTCGATGTAAAAACTCATTTTTAGACGAAAAAGGGGTAACTCTACTCAATACCCACCTTGCCATTATGTGGATTCTCATTTACTAGGGAAGCACAATACGATTCAATTTTTATGAAATCGTTTGAATTGTATACGATAACGAGTTTTTGAATAGATTCATTTCAATGTCGAAAGGTGAAATATTATATAATATTTAGTTGTACTTAGATCAAATGATTGCCCTATGTTTGACATCTATTAAAAATATTTTCAGAGAGTCCCCAAACTCCAAGCTGAAGACCAGGCGGTCTGGTGGGACACACTAGCAAAGATGCAGAAACTGTTCCGTAAATCCGCACTACAACTGTACAACACTGGAAAAATGGACAAGGACGCCATGCATAACTATTTTATGTCAGGTTGGTGAAATTCAGTTTATAGGCAAAAATTCTCTAAACCGTTTGAAAATGTGGCGTGATGTTTCTAAACCGTATTTGGAGAAGCTTAGCAGACTATGACCCTCTCGTAGGAAGAGATCTGTGCTCAGTGGTGGAACTTACAAGGGTTGAAGGTAATATTACAATCATGGTCAATTATCATACTCAAAATGGGGTTGGATTTTTTGTATTTTATTTTATGAAACCAAGTAGGTAACGGGACGAACAAGTCGTGCGTCTGACGTAAATGTTAAAAAGTCTTTTGAAGTTTTATTTAGCGTGAATTGTGAAATAAACTTGTATATCTTAAAGCCACACAATAAATAAATTAACAAATAACACACCCTAGGGAAACCCTGTGTTACGGGTGCCATGGAGACACACATACAACCACATACAAGACACATAGACAACCACAAATTTCACCCAAACTTACGAGGTAAATAAATCTAGGCCATACAAATACTTCTCCCGGCCCGGGAATCGAACCTGGGACCTCTACGTGGCAGAGCAGCATGGTAACCGTTCGGCCATGGAGGCAGTTGATAATAGAAAATCGAGATTAAAAATGATTTCACAACAACGAAACAGAAAAGAAACAAAGCAACACTAGAATAAACTAACGAAGTACTCCTTACCTCCATAGTCAGTAATCAATTATTTTAATAACGCACCGTTATATCTATTAATTCCAGTTACGGAAAGGGAAGTCATCAACGGCGTCCTCAACGTGAAAAACACTAAGAACCATTGCCTGGCCTACGTGCGGTACATCAACAACATCAATCTTCAGGTTAGCTAACCCAGGACGCTTATGTCTTATCGCATAAAGTCTCAATTTCGATACAACTGAAAGATCCAGCCAATAAGTGAAAAAAACTGACGCCCAATTTGAAAGATTGCGACGATTAAGGTAATGTGACCCGTAGACGAAGAAATATGTTGGGTAACATAGAAGGCCAAAGTATTGCGAATATTTTAAAGGAGGTACACGGTTTTTTGTTCCATCGACACATAATTATTCAAGGATAATGTTTAAATTTGTATATTCATTCCATCGAGTATATAACCAGAAAAAGAGACGAAATGTCATTAATTTGTTTGAAAACTATTCTGCCAAATCATTACGGTGACAACTACGCTCCGATTGGCAAGCACGAATTCGAAACAATTGACGCGTGTTGTCAATTCTTTCACTTCAAATCGACCAGTTTAACTTTAGTTTTGCGGTAATGGACGAAAATCGCAAAATTACATATTTAATATTTAATTGTCGATGAAATGTGATTCCGTTTGTTTTGTAATTAGATGTTGTAGATGTTTTTCCCACACCAATGGAACAGGCCCCATTGTTAGAGATATTGTCTTTATTACAATAAATACAGAATATTTTTGGAATATACGCAGGTCACTTGTTAGCGCTGTAATATTTCAGTTTTGTAATTTGTGATTTCAGCACAAACGAGGGTTGTTATTTAAAAGTAATATAGGGCCCATCTACCTGATGCGTTGCCATGGATGGATTATTTCGTCTCTATTTCTGGTTATGTACTCGATGATTCATTCCTACGATGACATTGACGATCTTCGTGATCCATGATGACCATGAACAACTGTGTGCAAATCACTCACTTGCACACAGTTGTTAATGGTGTCCCCATCTTTGAGGTTTGATCCCCGGTCGGGTCAAACTGAAAAACCAACTTTCCTATAATTTTCTCGTGTCTGGCTATTTGTGACACAGTCGTTGTTTCCGATTTTTTTACAATACCAAGTGACGGGACGGACAAGTCGTACGCCTAGTGGTAAGCGACACACCTGTCCATAACAGTTGCAATGCCATTCAGAGCTTTAAATCGCAAAGATCTTAGGGGCACTGTTACTTGCGCCCGTCACCTTGAGACATAAGTTGACAAGTTCCATGTGCCTGTAATTTTACCAGCACCCTTACCCTTCCAAACTGGAACGCAGTAACGCTCATATTACTGCTTGGCGGCAGAAATAGGTAAAGTGTTAATACTTTTTAAAAATAAAATGTAAGTGCGCATTTGACATCCATCTCATCTGATGCAAAGTGACGATGAGGTCGACGATGGAACATACACACCTAAATAATGCCTATTCATTCTCGCCTTGAAAAGGCCTAAGTTATAACGTTCAAGGGACAAATCTGCCATAAAAACATGAACTATAGGCACTGGTTACAAATGACATGGCACCAACATATTGAGAGTCAGGGAGATTAGGGACTAGGGTGTACTCCATGACGACAAACTACTTTTTGACAGGCATATTGACTGTGTAGTAAGTAAGGCATCAAAGGGACTTGGATTTATTCGGACATCGGCGACGTTCAATAATATCAAATGCCTTAAGATTCTTTATTGCCCTTTCGTACGGAGTCACCTTGAGTACGCTTCACAAATCACAAATAAGTCTGGAATTCATGCTATGAAACCTATAGGTCTCGGTTGGAGGCAATTCAGCAGAGATTTTTACGGTATCTGGATTACAAAACCAAACAATTTTCATCAGGTTATGAGCATAAGTGTACTAGGTACCATTGTTTGCCGCTCCGTGTAAGTCGAGTCGTTATTGATTCCTCACCCTGGATGCCAAGCTTCCTTGTTGCATTTAGTACTTCCCTAGACGAACTCATTCATAAGGAGCTCTACTGTTACTAAAATTTTACTGATTTCCATAACACAAATGCTTTAATTACTTTGAGATCAGAGCAACGTTTGTGATATTGTCTAATATTTATTATTTCCGATTGTTTCCTTTTTGCTTTCAGAACCTGAAAAAGGCCAGCAATTTCGTGGACATCCTCAATAGAAGTCTTGACACTGAAGCCTCTAAGCTATTAGCTGATCTTCGGGATGTGAGGTTACCGGAGAAAATTGAGACTACCAATATACAAAAGTATGTTTATTTGTACGAAATTAAGCAGCCTGTGGGTCGCAAACTTAGTAAGCGCATTCAACATAGTAAGGCGTTACTTTGATTTAAACTTCCACGATTTTCACACATTATTTGATTTTTAATTCGGGACTTAATCATGTATAAAATATATTTTAATTAACTCGACGTTTCGCACGTATTGCAAGGTCCACGGTCTCGAAGGGACTGAAGAGGCGGGTGTCAGCATCTTCTAGCCGTGCGAGTTTTTTTAACTACTTGGTCTTCATTATTTATTTGTGCACTACTTTTGCTGATAATTGATCCCATGACGATGAAAGCTTAAAACCGTCTTCTCAGTTGAAATTACGATGTTTTTTAATTTCAATAGCTTCACGTACGATTCTACTACAGTGTTGACGTTCTATAGAAAAGATCTTGGTATTATGAAGCTCAATCCAGAGGTTTGGTCCTGGTTCCAGTATTTACTGGAATTTATTGTATTTATTGAGCTGACGGTTCCTAACAGCCACGATGTGTTCTTTGCTGACACTCGCTTCTTCAGTCCCTTCGAGACCACGAACGTTGCAATATGTCCGAAAGGTCGAGATAATTAAAATATGTTTTGTACATGATTAAGTCCCGAATTAAAAATCAAATAATAATAAGGCTTTTACCACTGCAGCTTGTTAATACAAGTTTGCAGAAACGTATATTTCTTTTAGGCAATAATAATTATTTATTCTTGATCAACAAACCATCCTGATACAATGAGTGCGGCGCCGGCAAGGCGGTTTATTTCTTGACCTTGTTGAATCACTCCGTTGGATAGCCAAATAAATGAAACATAACGTCGGGCATTGGATTTATAAGTTTCTATTATATGATTTACAAGAATCTACTATTATGAGTCCGTAAACAACATAATTTAATTCTTACTGTGCAAAAATCATAGTCGTAGCCATTGAAATAACAAGGTAATCATATTAAATCCCTCTCCTGTAAAATTTGATTTAGTGCTACGCGCCTTTTAACAATACTACGTAATACTTATTGTTATCCCCCACGATAGTACCTATTATTATTAGAACGTAGTTTATAGTTATAATAATTTAAATGTGTCTATGAAAGCTAAAGCTTCCAAAAAAGGTTTGTCATGAACCAATAGGACTACTTATCGCATAAGACGGCGTAGTCGGGTATTTAGTTGTTATTGGTACACCAGATGTCGTGACGAGCACCATCTGTAACTAATTTGTTTTACATTGACAAGCTGCCATTTATAAGAGCTACTGTAATTTTTAGTGATAACAAACAAATCAACTAGATGGCGCTTATTGCACAGATTTTTATGGATAGTGCTTTTCTTTTATTCCGTTTAGGATTGGCACCATTTACTCATATTAGGAAGCGTTAATATATAAATAATTTGTAACACACACTGCTACACACTGCATCTGTTGACACGTGTATACTGGGTGCAGTCGTTAAGTGTGCCCAGGTGATCATTCCATACATAATACATAAGAGATATCAAAAAGCATTAAACTAATATCGAAATTATGTTACCTAATGAATAAATCGACATCAATAACGTTTTAAAAAGAAAACTAGAAATATCCAAAATTTTACTTTAAACGCTAGAGAGGCTTTAGTTTTTCTACTGTAAGAGGTAACAGTTAATAGATGACAAAACTGACACAAATAAAGTAATAAAACTATCTTTTAATTGAATAGAAATATATATAATGGCATAGTCAATTATTTGGTCAAGTGTGCGTTGTCCATAAAAATTAATCAAATTGTAAATTTTTTTAGTGTAGATCGACTTGGTTTCATGTAAGGATCATTTCATTGTATGGGACGAAAAAATCGGGACTTCAGAAGTTGGTCAAATTTAATGAAATGTTTTTTAAACAAAATTATAATAATTGACTATGCCATTACACCATTTTTATTCAATTAAAAGATAGATTTATTCTTTTATTTATAGCAGTTTTGTTATCTGTTAACTTATTGTTACCCCTTACAGTAGGAAAACTAAAGCGATTACACACTGTATGTCAAATTTCAGAAAATAATTTGTGCTCATTATCAATATTTGAATAATATTACAAGGAAAAAACTAGTTTCTTATATTTCATATTAAAGGTGAATTAATTGCTATCCGCGGCCATTTACTCGTACATAATATAAACCACTTCTAGGCTATTAAATAAATAATAAATAAATAACGCACACACTCAACATAGCCCCGCACTAGGGAAACCCTGTGTCGCGGGTGCCATGGACACACACATAGACAACCACAAATTACACCCAAACTCACGAGAGAAATAAATGTAAGCCATACAAACATTTCTCCCGGCCCGGGAATCGAACCTGGGACCTCTGCGTGGCAGTCCGGCATGGTAACCGTTCGGCCACGGAGGCAGTAAATCAAGGAGGCAGTTGAGCAGCGCTATCTAGGCACAAGACGGAATTTTGATCTTTTCCGAGCTACGAACTGTGGTATGGAAATTAGCAATCCTCTTGCTTCTACTAAAATCCATTGAAAGAAACTTTAGACAGTAAACTAACCTAAATAATTATAATAATAATAATAATAACGCGCACACTCAACATAGCCCCGCACTTGGGAAACCCTTTGTCGCGGGTGTCATGGACACACACATAAACAACCACAAATTACACAAAAACTCACGAGAGAAATAAATGTAGGCCATACAAATGTCTCTCCCGGCCCGGGAATCGAACCTGCGACCTCTGCGTGCCAGTCCGGCGTGGTAAACGTTCGGCCACGGAGGCAGCTAGGCAATATCAATAGATATCTAGTTCTTAGGTTTTCGCGATTGTTACACATAGGAAGTGAAACTATTTTTCCGGATTTACAGGACACACAGTCAAAAATAGTTTCATTTCCAATATCAATAGATGTCAGGGTCAAAATTTTGTTTATTACAAAATGGTTCACAGGAGAGCTTTCACTATCTCTTAATATCTATGCATATAAAAATATTATCAACAGTCCATTTCTAGGGCAAGGATTTCCTCAAAGAAGTTACCATCCTGGTATGCCGAAGACTGGTTATATCACATACATATTTGACATGCTAGGTTTACTTTACAAATTATTTTGACATAACACGGTACGCAACAATACCTAAGAGGATGGAAAAAAAATAAAAGAAAGGAGCTGCCTAACTACAGAATCAACGTGCATATAACCAAAATTTGAAAGTACAAATGGCGGATTTCTTTAGTGTTGTACCATAATCTATCGATAAGTCATTATCGACATGCAAATGTATGGCTTGAATGTTGACACTGTTTTTTTTTGTTTCTTTACTTTCCTGTAACCAAAGTATGTCTAAACAAACACAAGTCTAATAATTTAATCTCGAGTGGTATATTATTATATATGTCAACACACATTTTTAAATTTTTTTTGAAAATTTATTTTCAAGATTACAACTGGTAACTTATTGAGTAAAAGTCACCACACTACCGTGCAGTTTGTTGGCGACATGCGCATTCTTACTTAATTATACCTACTTTACTGGTATATAACATTACATAGTATTAATTGTACTTACTAAATAACATATAAAAATTACTTTAGGAGGTACGCCTTTAACCTATATTTTAGTACATATTTACGTAACGTCTTTTAACTAACTGTCAAATACGAGTCTATTCTGGTTTCCGCGGATTCTAGTATTCCCGTTAATTCCCGGGCTTTCTTAAGCAAATGAAATCTATCAAGCAATTTTAACACAGAAATAATGGAAGTAGTTGTAAAAATCAATTATCAGAAATCAACAATTATCATGGTACTAGCTTTTCTCCATGACTTCGTCCGCGTACAATTTTTAAACAAATGAAAAATAGTCCTAGTATGAAGCAAATCGCACCACGCGTTAAAAAGTTACCATACAAAACTTTATTACCCCATTTCGCCGCATTTTTGAAAAACTGTCATGCCATTTTTTTTACCATTTTTATTGTAAAATATTTATTGCAAAGTTTCGTCTTTGTAATTTCAAGGAATATTATTTTTCATGAAAACGTTTTTATCCGTTTTCGCCCTCTTAGGGGATGAATTTTGAAAAATATGTTTTTAGTACTCCTTCACTAAATAAAATTAATATACCCAAGTTATCATGTTCTAGTACTAAAGTTCTGATAAAATTTGACTCTTCAAAAGCGAACAAATGAAGATGGTCTTTGATCCAACGTTTATATTCGGCAGTCCTATGATTTCCAACCATTCTTTCTTCCTTTTTCATTTGTAGGAAAACTTGAAATAATAAAAATATTAATAAAACAATAAAAACCTCGTAGTGAATTGTTTTAATAATAGAATATCGATAATATGTATGCTTACAAGATCAACACTAACTCAAAATAATTGTTAACAACAATCATCAAAATATACAAACAAACGGGCAATCTAAAGTAACAAAAGCAAAATTTGGCAAGATTTATAAATAAACTACTTAAATAAGTCTAATTACATGAAATATTTGGGCTATTGTGTGATTTATAGACAAAAAAATAACACATGCCTGTGCAATGTAACATTCGATTGATTTGCACTTTTTCTAAAGCCACATCCCTTAATGCTGCAGCGTCGCATTTTTATTAACACCTAATTATTCTCACTGTCAATATTTTTGTCCAATTTAATTATAATACATGCGAATAATTCAATAGTACATTTGGAAAAACATTTGTTTTGACATTTTATGTACTTCCCTTTGATAACGGTATCACGTACCTCATGTACTGCGAAATGGACACGGTTGGCATTTACGATGACGTTACATATTTTCGATTCCCGTGTTTGACACAGACCAATGTAATGCTATCTCTTTTGGCTTAAGCCGGCACGTAATAGTTAAACAAAGACAATAACATGTTTATGTTTTCGACGTCGAAATGCATCATATACATACGACGTCTGATTTATATATGTTAACGTAACATGTCCTTAAGTTTCCATAGTCTAAGAGCAATACAGACTTTTGGTGTGACAATTACGCGCGCGAAATGCAGTACAGTGTTAGCGAAAACTCTCAGATCACGCAAATGTCTCAGGAGCGGGAGTCTACTAACATTTGTCGCGGCTCAAATTTTAACAATAAAAACGACATTCTATCGTGTCAAACCAAAACACTGTAATATCAAACAGTAGTTTGAGAATATGCTATAAAAAGGATTTTATTCCTTTTTTGTAATGTTTCAGGTTAACAACATAATAAATACGTTTAACTTATTTCTTAATTAGATATTAAAGAATTCTATCTGGACATTGTTTTAATTGACTTTGCAAAATACGCTATTTCTATCGAAAAATTAATTGAACTTGTTTTGAATGAACTTGTTTTGCCTTGTTATCAGCCGAAAGATTGTTGCCTGAGACTTGCAGTGTTTTGGTTTGACGCAATAGAACGTCTTTCATTGACAAATGGGTTGAACCTTGATTTTGAGAAAAACCTCGAAAAGTTGTTACCAGTTTTTTTATAATGTCCAATGACAGGACGTACAAGTCGTGCGTCTGATGGTAAGCTTGTCCATAACACTTCCAGTGTCACTCGGAGCTTTAAATCGCAAAGATCTGAGCGGCGCCCGACACCCTGAGACATAAGTTGACAAGTCCCATGTGCCTGTAATTTTACCAGCACCCTTACCCTTAAAAACCGGAACACAGTAAAGCTAACATACTACTTGGCAGCAGAAATAGGTAAGCTACTTCCCTGGACGGACTCTTTCACAAGAAGCTCTACTGCTACTAAAGTTGTAATTATCAAACCTCCTCAAAAACATGAGGCTGCTAAAATCTAAGACTGCATTCTCCCCCATGCTTCGACATTACAAGCAAAAACTGAATAAGATTTTCCACCAATGTTACACCCGACAACAGCAATGTACATCAAAGCCGATCCACTCGATTGAGTGTCTTCTCGCTTTCGCAAATGGGAAGGAAGTAACGACCCGCCTTGTCATTAATTCTGAAACGTAATTAATTCAATCCCCTCACTTCAGTTTTAACTTGCTTAGGCGGTGTTTAAAAGGTTAATGACGTGACTTTGTCTTTTTCTTGTCTTGCTCTTTTTTCTTTAAAAACACTGTAGTTTGTTGTTAACCAAATGTTACAAATTTCCAATATTTAAAAGTGTGTCGTCGGAAATATGGTAACATGTCAGTTGCAATAATAAAATATATTTCGGATACAAAATAGCCATCATGCAGCTATCGCATCGCGTCGCTGTGATCTTGTATAATTTAGGATGTGACGGTGTGACCTCCTTACACCGTCATCTCACCTCTTTGTATCGCCTCTCTCGGCTTGTATCTTATCATTTTTTTTTATTTTACATGTATTTAAATTTTAAATTTGAATTGTTCCATCTTCCTTCACTTTCTCATTTTGTTTTCGTACCACGGTCACTCCCAGCTCGACCGCCACAACAGTCAGAGCTGTTAATAAGCTAATCATGTGTAATAATTTATAAGTCTACACCCTTTATGTATCTATTTCTGTAATTCTGTTTCTCGGCCCATTTAGGGTTAAGTGCGTTAATAATAAGTGTAGGGAGTGTTTTATACTGTTGTACCTGTTTTTTTACATTTACCTTTTTATTGTTACAGCCCTTTCTTTAATCTTTACTTCTTTAATAGATTTTGTGGACCGGAAGTTTCCCATTTCATTGCCGTGAACCTGTTCACGGCTAGTTAGGGTTACAACCCTTTCAAGGATCGCATATATTTGTCTAATTTTATTGGAAATAGCCGTATGGTTAGATCTACCGCCTTTTAAGCAGTGGCCGTGGCTTCGACTCTTCTTATCTACGAAATTTATTTTGAAACTTACCATGAGCTTTTCGGCCTCCAAGCAATATTGTGGACATTACTGCGTTTCGGTTTGGAAGTGTAAGGGCGCTGGTGATATTACAGGCACATGGGACTTGTCAACTTATGTCTTGAGGGTGTTGGGCGCAGTGGCCGTGCCCCTAAGGTCTTTGCGATTTAAATCTCTGAGCGGCACTGCAATTTTTTTAGATAGACGTGTCGCTTACCACAAGGCGCACGACTAGTTAGTCGTAAAAAACAATTGCGCAATATTACTGGAGATTTAGATAAATTCTTGTTTAGGTTTTCGGTAAACTATAATCACTATTGATATATATTTAAAAACTACAAAGTTATTTCAAATTTGTAGAGTGATTTCCCGTAAAATATCGATCATTGTTTCCATCACTAAACGAAAACCTACTAGATAAAATTTTATTCTCCAGGTATACAGTAGAATGGATAGGCCGTGAAGGCCTAGATAATGAAACGCACGCTGAGTATCTCAATCACTTCATTTCCCATTTCTACAAGAATATCATAAAACTGGTGGACAGGTGAGTTTCCGAACCAAGTTGCCTATAGACAACATTACAATTATCTTCCAAAGTGTCAGTCCTGTTCTCAATGTGACAATAGTGGATTATATCTAATTGTAAGTTAGTACGTAGATACAATTAGGTATCGCTATTAGATGCACGCAACGATTTGATTTTTATGAAGATCGATTCAATTGCAAACGATCTAGCGATTTTTTGAATCGATTAATTTCATTACGATTTAGAATCGTCTAGAAAGTATTCTTAATTTAAACAAAAATCTCCACTCTAACTATGTAACTGGGTGACGAATTACATAGATTTCTCATATATGGCGCTAAGGCTAATAAGTCGTTGAAAACCAAATACAAAAATCCGACAAACAAGCACATAGAAAAATTCGTGAGGTCCGTTGGTTCGTTCCGTGACTTTGATTGCTAGAACACGTCGGTTCAAATCCAGCCGGATAGAAGGAATGTAACGAAGTGTTCGATCTTTGTATTAATAATTATAACAAACTAGTGGAGTAATTTCACAAAAAAAAAATACTGAATACTGAATATCAATTCAATACAAATTTAATTACAAAAATCTGAACTTATTAATGATTTCGTCAAGTACAGAAATAGAAAATAAAGAGGAGAGGACAATGCTTTGGACAGTAAGTTATATGACATTAAAATTGAAAAAATTTGTTAGATGTAAAGGATTAGCGTCTGTGAAAAGAAAAGAAATGGCAATTAAATCATAAAGATGTTTTATTTATTACAAATTCCGAACGATTTTTATGAGATCAATTCAAGATCTTACGATCAGATCCGGCCTTCAAGACAGTTTGGGAAAAAGAAGTGAAAATAACAACTTGACTACCATATTCTGTTTAGGGCAATGCGCAAAGAAGACAGCAGCGCTCAAGGTCAAATTGTTACCGAAATTCTCCAACATCTCCATGCTTGCAACAATTCAGTGAAAGTCTTCCACGGCAGAGAGGATGATCTCAAATTTATCGAGAATTACATGAAGGACAACTCTGATAAACCCTTAGTTTTATATGGAGAAGGTAAGGCATGTTATAACACGACCAGAGATGAACAGTGGGTTAAATCTCAATCAACCCGCTCGGGTTTTATCTCATTTCTGCTCAAAATCGCGGGCAGAAACGGCGAATACAGAATTTGGTATAATTCCATACTTATTACAAATTTCGATGTAAAAAATATTTTTAGGCAAAGTAGATTCAATTCCACACAATGCCCACCACAATACCACGATTCGATTTTTATGTAAATCGGTTCATGTTTATACGATCTAACAATTTTTTGTATCGATTTATTTGAATACGATTTTCAAGCGAAGCGATTAATTGAAAGGCAAATCGAATCGTCTAGATCAGAAAGCAATATTCAAAATCTTGAAGATGTTATCTAAGAAATTTGATTGTCCTTTGATGTGGAAACTCACTCAAAGAATGAAATCATCGTTAATTATTAAGTACTAACGTAGGCTAAGAGTTACTAACACAATTGTGGACCTGTGAAGTTGTCTGAATTACAAATAAATAATAATAATAAAAAATTTGTAATAGTATCATTTACTTTGAACAAAACTCGATTTACAACACAAATTTAGTTGTAAATAGTTTTTGCCCTCGAATGGGTGTTAATGGATTTTAATCCGGTTTAAACAGGCGTTAGCAAAGAGCCGTGTTAAAACCCGGCAAAAACATCTCTGGACACGACCTTTGATCTGTTCGTAGTCGAAAAGTAGACATAGTTTCTGGCTGTGAATAAGAATATCCAAAGTTTTGCTGAAAGTTTCGTAAATCCTTTCGAAAATTGGCAGTATCGTTCCCATGTGTATTCCAGCTTTACCGTGATCGTCTACCTACCTACAAGAGACATCATGATCGCGGTAAATCTTTCTTAAACAATAGAATAATAGTGTCGTAACTTAGAAGTACCGTAATGATGTTATCAAAGGAGTTACATTGAGTTTGAAATAAAATACCAAGTCATATCCAATATACAATTCAATACACTTGAATTATCACGCCTATCAAAGGTCTGTGTTCTAAATTGTTGGACGAAACAGTCGGGTCAAGTCCCCTAATTTGTTATACACAATGTTAAATTTTCAGGAGGTTGTGGTAAAACAAGTCTATTATCAAAAAGCGCCGCAAAGTGCCTGAGCGACTGGTTCGCAGATGTTCGTCCGACAAACATCGTCAGATTCTTGGGTACTACTCCTGACTCCAGCGCTTTGACTCCCACACTAATTTCAATTTGTCAACAGGTAAGGCACTCTAATATAGTTATAAGTTAGTTGGGGAACAGTTTCCGTTTAAGCACAACGCTACGGGTACCATTTTCCATAGAGACTAATGTCCTTCAAACTTGTGTATTGATTGATAATTTTGTAGATATCATACGGTCAAAAATAAAGAAAACTTGAGTTTGTGGACAGTTTTTAAATATTACAATACAACAATAAAAGGTGGCTACTCACTACTTAAAGTTAATATAGTCCTAGAGCATTAAAGCAACAACACTATAAGAAGAAGAAAAAGTACTCTCCAAAGACTGTAAATTTATCTTACTATTTCAGATCTCCTACAACCTAGCTCTCCCATTCGAAACTATCCCCGATGACCTGGTACCCCTAACAGCTCACTTTAAGCAGCTCCTAACCATGGCTTCTCAGCAGCAACCATTACTTCTGTTCTTGGACTCTGTGGACCAGTTGACAGGAATAGGAACTGAGAATAACAAGGTTTCTTGGCTGCCGACTAGATTACCACCGTTCTGTAAGGTGAATACGTGAATATTAAACAATCCGCATATAAACCATATGATTTCACAAACGTATAGAACAATAAACTGTTTGAACGGGAAGCCAATCGATCCATGAAATTCGAAAATACATTTCCAATTTTGATTTATTTGTCACAGATTATTGTAACTTGTGCTCGCGAGGAAGCAAATCCAGAAGTATCCAAAGAATACGAAGTACTACGCAGGATGATTGATTCTGAAGAGAATTTCCTTGAAGTGACAGCTTTAGGAGAGGACTTGGCAATGCAAGTGTTAAAGTAAGCTGCTGTAGTATTTATTTGTATCTGCAAAAACGTTTCTTAAAGTTACTTTTATATTATACCACATTAATATACCGGGTGGAAATTTGTAATGCCACCTGGAGGGAAAGTACTCTAAATACTGGAGATAGAAATTTTTACTTAAAGGAAACATTCCCTTATTTTTTAAAATGTTTGTAAATTGATTTTCATTTTTAAACGTCTTCGCCACGTCGCAGATGTGAAAGTTGTAAGACTTGTGTATTTAGCCCTCTGCCAATCACTCACGTCCTACTGCATCTCTGCATGGGGTGGCTCCGCCAAGTCGCATCTTCTTAAGCTGGAACGCACCCAACGCGCGATACTCAAGGTAGGCTGGTGTCTCCCCTACAGATTCCCGACCACTGACCTTTATAAAACCTGTAAGGTCCTCTCAGTACGACAGCTTTTTGTTCTACAAATAGCTTTGACCACGCACACTCTTATCCCCTATGACCCTAATAAACTGTACTCCGTACGTCGTAAACATACTGTTTGTCCCTCAGTTAGTGTTTCCACTAGCTTAGCTCAACGTCATTTTTATTTTCTAGGAGGATATGTATATAATAAATTAAACAAAATCCTTAATATTCACCCATTGTGCAGAGCGGAATGTAAAAAAGTTATTACTTATTGGCTGACCACTCTCGACTACGAGTCGACTGAAAACATACTTACTTTACTGAAATAGGTAGCATTCACACACACACACACTTACACACACACACACACACACACACACACATACACACACACACACACACACACATGTACGCACGCACGCATGCACGCACTCACGCACACACCAGCATACACACATACACACACACCCACATACGCACACACGCACACACACACATTTTTGCACTAGACAGCCCATGCTTTATTTTGTAATTTATTTGTATTTTTTGTATTAAGTTTATGTCACGTTTTCTTACACTAAGAGGGAGTGAGCCTGGTGATCTGTAACACAGGTTCCCAACCTAGTACAGACTCCAGCTCTCACTAAGGCACTTGATATTTGTTATTTTTATTTTTTGTAATTAATAATTGTATTTTTAATGTATTCATACACTGTAACTACAACCTTAATGAGAGAAAATAAAGCATATTGTATCGTATTGTATTGTATTAAAAGAAATAAAACTGTATTCATAGATTTTCGAAAATTTCTAGCAACACGCGGGAATCCAACCCGCTTTAATCTGAAAAAATGCACCCTGCACTTTTATTTCATCGATCGATAGGGTTAATTATAAGAATAAAATCTCTCTCACAAAATTGCTTAATTAAATGAAAAAAAAACCATGATATCTGCCTTAGCGTATTTTAATAAAACGGAAAAAATGGTAATCTAACTAATTAGTTGCTCGAAATGAGCTCCATTTTCTTGGATACACAAATTTAATCTTTTAACGAACTCATTTTGTATAACTTTTAATAACGTGTTGTGATGAATTGTATTACAAATCGTATTCTGAGCCTCAGCCTTAAACTCGTTAATTAACAAGTAATCTGATGGACCTTTGAGTAAAAGTGCTTTAACTTGACCCATTGAATTTATAACTCCAGATTTGATGGTTTGTAAGGAGATTTCATCCTCATAATTGACCCTATCGATAGATTTAATAAAAGTACAGGGTGCATTTTTTAAAAGATTTTAGCGGGTTCGATTGCCGCGTGTGGCAAGCAATTTTCGTATATCTTTGAATGCAGTATTATTTCTTTTTAAAAATAAAGGAATGTTTCCTTTAAGTTAAAATTTCTACGTACTTTCCTTCCAAGTGGCATTACAAATTTCCACCCTGTATATACAAAATGGAAAAGTTTTAATGTTGTACAATATAAACATACGGGGAATGGACGAGAAATTATCGCCGTTAAAGTAACGCACACACTCAACATAGCCCCGCACTAGGGAAACCCTGGGTCGCGTGTGCCACAGACATACACATAGACAACCACAAATTACACCCAAACTTACGAGAGAAATAAATGTAGGTCATACAACTATTTCTCCCGGCCCGGGAATGAACCTGGGACCTCTGCGTGGCAGTCAAGTCAAGTCAGGAAGACATTGGAAAATAGAAGGGGGAATGTTGGAACATATGTTACGTAGTATTGAATTTATAAACGTTATAATTGAGGTGAATATAGAAGGAAAAAGGAAGACGAAAGCCAGTAATAACGTATAGTGAATAAATAAAGAAGAATTTGTGTGTGAAGTAAGCAACTATAAAGAGGTCAAGGCTCTTGCTATGGAACGTGAGATGATGATTTATGTTTAATTTATACAGTCTATGCGCCCTCCAAAAAAAACCAAGTTTGAAATATTCCTAGAGTTCAGTTTCATAATATCAGCATATTCTAATAGGAGATACATGTCAATACTTCTTTACAGGCTCTGGATGGCATCAGCAGCTCGTGACTTAAGCAACTACCAATGGCGCCTGGTTTCTAACGCGATTGGGTCGTGCTCTCTCCCAATTTTCGTTAAGCTGGTCTTCGCTGAAGTCTGCAGATGGAGGAGTTATACTAAACCCACTGATACGCATTTAGCTTCCACTGTCATGGACTCAATTATGATGCTGTTCGAGAGAATTGAGAAACAGGTATTCTTTCTTATGAACCTCACGTTTGTTCCTTGGCTAATCATTATTAGTTGAATGTTTTCGCTAATTTAAAGTTCTTCAGAATTGAGTTTAATAACAATGTAAACAATGGACGGTAAGCTATGTCGAAACAAATCGTACTATATCAAATTATCGACGGATCGAGCTATTCTTTTATGACGTAAATATTCTTACTTAACTTCATATTTCTCATGACCATTAATACAAAGAACGAACACAGAATAATTTCTTCGACACGTTAGGATTTGAACCACGCTGTATCGTAGCATTGCTCTGTACCTACTGAGCTACAGATCAAATTATCGAGTTGTGGAAATTTTTCTATGAATTTTTGTTATAGATATTTGTTTTCGGCATTTGACGCCGCTATAGGAGTTATTTCACAAAAAAAAGTCAATAATACATTTTATATTTCTCAGTTTATTTCATTAAACTGTCACCTGTAATTCAAATGCAATAATCACAATAATTATTGCTTGCAACCTTAGCGGTAGTTCAAAAGTTAGAACAAATATAACAAATTGATGTTAACAAATTGATTTTCAGAAACATTTTTTATCCCTTTAATTAGAATTTTAAAATATTCGTAAAAAACTTTTGATCCCAAGAAACTTTTGATGGTTAGGATTAAAACATTTGGAAACTTCGGGCGTCACAAAAACGTTACTAATCAAAATCACAATTTTATCAGCACGGCCGTCTGCTAGTATTCCACGCCCTAGCCTACATAACTGCAGCCCGTAGCGGTCTCTCAGAGACAGAACTCGAAGATCTAATCTCTCTTGACGACAAAGTACTGGACGATGTCTATCAGTACCACTTGCCACCTGTGAGGAGAATACCTCCACTTTTGTGGACTAGGTAAGTATTTTTCCATAAGTCTGTCCCTAAACCGTAGAAACTGTTTTAAATTATGTCCTACAGCTGGTTCTAGATTAGAATTATTATAAAGATGTACTTGCTATGGTAAAACAAAATAAAATCTGCGTGACGAAAAGATTCACACTCTTTGAAAACGAGAGCGTGCAAATTTCGTAATATACTTAATGTTACCTAAAATCGGCCTTGGTATCGACCGACCTAGCAAGATTTGAGCAAAACTAAGACTGAGTCTGCAAGACTTGCAACAAAGATAGATTAAGACTAGGTGTACTGATTGACCTTGAGTTTGTCTTGTACTAGGATTCTTTCGCATTTTCAGATCCTTTTTTCTCATTTCAGGATCCGTAACGACCTCCCCAATTACCTATCTGAGCGAGAAGCCGACGGTGTCTCCGTGATGAATTGGTACCATCGTCAATTCCGTGACACTGCCAGGGAGAGATACTTCAAAAATATGAACATGGCAATGTATTTCCATTCTATGATCGCTGACTATTATCTTGGTGAGATATTTTGTAAATATTGAGACCTAATTTTGCCGCCAAGCAATGCAAAGGTGCGGGTGAAATTACAGGCACGTGAGACTTGATCTATGCGATTTAAGATCTTAGCAGCACGGCATCTGTTATGGACAAGCGTGACCACCATACAAACGACTTGTTCATCTTGTCATCAAAACAATCAATCAATTATCAATTGGTATATAAAAAGATAAATTTACAAGAAATATCAAAGAAAGGAACTAATTTTCTTGTGTGAACCAAATTCTGAGGTTTCCGGCAATAATAACTATCATGAAATGCTAGAAGTACTAGGCGCCCGAATATCATACGTTTTCATATTCTTGCTTAGAGGCCAAAGTTTAGCAATAATGAACTGCAACATGAAGGTGAATGAGTCTTCTTTCAGGTCGCCTTCAATTAAGACGCTTGTAGAAGCAGTGGCGCGGCTAATGTTTACAATATGACAATGTTGTTGTAAATATTGTTGTACAATTACAAAAAAATTACGTTCAGGCATTTGGGGAGGTGGCACACCAAAACCTTTCAAGTACACCGAGATTCAACGGCATCGCTTCAACCTGGCTGACAGAGAAGGCGTGGCTGATAGAAAGGTCCCCATGCAGCCATTGGTTTTTACTTCTGCTGATGGGTGTATGAAAAGATACAACTTGAGAAAGGTATAGTTTATACACATTCAGGCAGTCCACCTGGTGACATTTCCGATTCAAAGTATCTAACTTATAATGAGCTGATAATAAGAAATCAAGTCTTCTATGCCTGTGATTGATGAGTTGACCCTCTATATCCTCCAATTTGGAACATAAAGGGACCAATAGTTTTCAGTAATGGGCAAACGATTCAGGGAAGAAGAAAAAGAAAAGAGCAATAAAATTGTTTCCTTTTCTTCTGCTCTTTTAGGGTGCGTTCAAATTAGCCGCTGTTAGAAACGCTGTAGGCACGCGGCGGCCACGCTGCGTCCGCACGGCGGCCGCGTGAACGTCGCGCTGCTGACGTACGATTAAATTTTTAGTGATGTTTTATATTTCGACTCAGTTACGCGATGGATTCTGGCGAATTAAACATTACTTTCGCCTAGTTCTCGGGGCGCACACTTCACATGCAGATATTAAAAAGTATATATTAAAACAAATTTGAACAAATAAATAATTCAAATAAATATTCATAAAATTTCCCATGCCTCTTTTATCCAGTCGATTGCAATAACTGGCGGAACTGCTACATATTGCAGGGTGTTGTTTTACATTCTCTATAAATTCTTCAATTCGATTTTCATCCATCGTGGTTAATTTGAAAAATAAACGTGTACACCTCACTAACCGTGACTGCAACCGAGCGTGACTGCAGCGCGACTGTCGCGTGGCCGCCGCGCAGTTGTAGTACTTCTAGAAATTGTATAAAAAGTGACAGACGCGCGGCTGCGGCGCTGCTGCAGTGCGTCTAACAGCGGCTAATTTGAACGCGCCCAATAAAGATATCTGAGTCAACTGTTGGTTCAACGTACCAATGCTTGTGGATATCCGTTTAGTTTCGTAGAATTTCTTGTTTATATTTTGTTTAAGAACAAACATGCGCGCGCCCTAATTGCATTGACTTATCTCAAAAAGTGCCGCAATAATAATATAGTTCTGACGTGCGTGAAAATATCTCCGCTAAAACCAGGGAGAAATTATTGTGCAAACAATCCATAGTTTACCGTTCAGTTACGCTATTTAGATCCCAAAAAATATCGATACATTATTGTTTGTATAAAATATTATCTTACAGTTTGGCGAGCTTCCCTTCCATCTTGTCAGATCCAAGCGCTTCACAGACTTGTACGCTGAAGTACTGTTCAACTACGAGTGGCTTCACGCAAAGCTTAACTGCTGCCCTTTGCAGGCTGTGCTGGCGGACTTTGAGGACGCTAAGTTGCATGTTAACAAAGACGCTGTAAGGTTGGTCTTTTTTACTTCTTTCTCTTAAGTTTGAGCATTGATTGGTTGTACGCGCGATTTATAAGTTACATGGTATGGCATGGAACTTGCGACTACACGAGCAGCGAAGAAAGTTATTTTTGTTTATTCTTAAGTTTATTAAATATCACGAAGTTTTACGATCATGATATTAATCATTTTTTGTGAAATTTCACACTGCACCAGTTTCTTATAATTATTAATACCTACTGAATTGGACTGGATTCCAAACAATGCCTCCAAGCATACCGTAACAGATGCTCTCTCAACTGAGCTATGGAACGAACCACCAGACGTTACGAATTGTTCTATGTGCTTGTTGCTTGTTGTTATTCTTTTGTTTAGTTTTGTGATGATTAGACCTCTTTCATCGTCATTCCACCCTTTTATCACGTTTTTGTCTGTTTACTGGTCACTTACTTTTGAAATTTTGAATCATTCTCTAGTTCTTTTTTCGTTATTCTTACTTTGCTTTGTTCCGTCGTCACTCGTTACAAAATTCCCGAAGAGAAAAGAGGTGTCCTTCAATCATGTAATCCTAACTACTCATAAAGCAACAACATATATGCGAATACTGGCCCTTTTGGGTTAAGTGTCTACTTTATATTCATCCATAAGCATACTTGTATGTAATTTAAGTTAAGGCGTATTTTATAGTATTGTACCTGTGTTTTTTATACCATTGTTTTTTGTTACAACATGGTTATGTATTTCCATTCTATGATCGCTGACTATTATCTTGGTGAGACATTTTGTAAATATTGAGACCTAATTTTGCCGCCAAGCAATAAAAAGTTGCTTGTGAAATTACAGGCGCATGAGACTTGTCAACTATATGTCACAGGCTGACGGACGCAGTGGCATTGCCTCTCAGAATATGCGATTTAAGATCTGAGCGGCACGGCATCTGTTATGGACAGGTGACCATCATACAAACGACTTGTTCATTATATCAATTGGTATATAAAAAAGATAAATTTACAAGAAATATCAAAGAATGGAACTAATTTTCTTGCGTGAACCAAATTCTGAGGTTTCCGGCAATAACACTATCATAATAATAACTATCATGAAATGCTAGAAGTACTAGGCGCCCGAATATCATACGTTTTCATATTCTTGCTTAGAGGCCAAAGTTTAGCAATAATGAACTCCAAAATGATGGTGAATGAGTCTTCTTTCAGGTCGCCTTCAAATTAGCGATATTTTCATCCATAAGCATATTTGTATGTAATTTAAGTTAAGGAGTGTTTTATAGTATTGTACCTGTGTTTTTTATACCATTGTTTTTTGTTACAGCCTTTCCATTTCTTTCCTTACCTATTCTTTGTTTCTACTACTACAATGAAAATCTTGCAATAAAAATTATGTAGACCGAGCCTACTCTTTAATTTCGCCAAGGCGAGGCACATACAGTTCAACTTGATGGATATAAATTTCTCAAACGGTATTAAGCCAGTGTGGTAGATTAAAAACATGTATAATACCAATTAGTTTCGAGAAATCCAAGCTTGTAGACATAAAATGGTTAGAAAGCATCGATCTTTGCTTTACAGAGAACTGATGCTGGTAGCAGATGCCCTTCGGCTAGGAGGGGCAATTCTCGGCCAATATCCAGACATGCTGGCTCCTCAACTCGTCGGACGACTTTTGCCTGAAGCCCCTCACAATCCAGCCGTAGCTTCACTATTGAAACAATGCAATGATAAGGGAAAGAACCATTGTGCGTTACTGCCTTCCCATCACTGTTTGCATACTCCTGGTGGACCCCTGAAGGTTAATATTAATAATAAAGTTTATTGTTCCAAAGTAATCCACGAGTAAATATCTTTTTGGCAATTCTTTCAACTTAGTCTATCATCTCTTCTACTTCTAGTATTCTTTAGAAGGTCATCAGTTCGCAGTCTTCGGGTTTCGTCTCAGCTCAGACACCCGTTACGTGGTTTCCATCTCCAGCCGAGTCATCTCCTGGGATCTATCCACATCAGACCTGGCACGAGATCTGTGTCCACAACTTGAAGGCATCATGCAGAATTTGGAACTATCGCCAGATAATAAATGGGCTGCTGCCAGCACTAATAATTCTGTGGTGAGTAAATTATGTATTACTAAACGTGTTATCTAACATTTATTTAATAAGTTTATTTCGTACTATTTTTATATAGAAAGTCGTCAATCTAATGTTTTTGTCGGAGACAGTTATCACTTTAAATGTAATGTAACAAAATTCGTTTTATTGTCTACGTAATGTACTTTACGAAGGTATAAATCTTAGCTAAATATATAAGTTAAAATATTATTATTGCGTCTTGTTTTCCAATTATTAGATAAACAATTTAAGGCTACCTACGAATCTTATTAAGTAATCTCTGTTGGAAATGAAGCTAGACTTTTTTAGAATTTTATGAAATTACAAAATAATGTACGCACTTCAAAATTGCAGGGTGACAAGAGAGGGACGCGCCGTACGTTGAGAAATACGTTTTTCTTATGTGTAATATTTGTTCCCATAGTAAGAGCAGGCGCGTAGTTACCGTGTTTGCGTTCATTCGATCATTCTTTGTTTTCAGTATGACAGTTCAAATTGAATGACATCCTTAAAAGGTAAGGTCGCAGAGAGGGTGGCGCTGGTGTTGTTTGAATCCGTTCAGTTTTTTTTATGATACTGAGTGACGGGACGAACAAATTGTGCGCCTGACGATAAGCGACACGACTGTCCATAACTGTCCACTCAGAACTTTAAATCTCAAAAATCTGAGAGGCTACCACTGCGCCCGTCACCCTGAGACATAAGTTGAAGTCTCATGTGCCTGTAATTTCACCAGCACCCTTACCATTCAAAACTGGAACGCAGTAATGCTCACATTACTGCTTAGCGGCAGAAATTGGTAAGGTGGCAGTACTTCCCTCGACGAACTCTGTCACAAGGAGCTTTACTGCTACTAAATCAATTTAATTAGTTATCTGACGTGATCCTATGACATGATGGTTGACAGAGTTGCCATAGGAATATAAAAATTGAAGTGGATTGTCAATGTTTATAAGCGAACGCGCGCTGACAAGAGGGGCTTTGTGTGTGTTGACTTGAAAATTGATGGATGGCGGCCGTCGCTCCTTGTGAACTTGCCGCGTGACGTTTAAAATCCATTTTGACCTGATCTATCTTTTGTAGGTACTTTCGAACTAATTACTGTGAAAAAGTAAATAAACGAATTAACTGCAATAAACTGGCGTTACTATTTAATTTCATTGGCCCGCTTAACAACTAATTGATAACGAAATGTGAATAGGCCAATTATCAAGTAATTCCTTAGTCAGTGGTTGAGGGTGTTTCCCCCAACGTCTCCATTACGGCCATACTTTGACATGTATATTAAATTGACGAGTTTCTAAAGTTATTATTAGATAATGGAAACTGGAATTCAAGCTTCAATCTTTCGTAAAATAACCCAAATTTTGCGTCAACTTTGAATAAAAGACTCTCGGGCCATTGACTCCAGCCCTTGTCTCGTTTGGCCGCCTTTAGCGAGTATATTTATTTTCAATGTTACGTTACATATTTCTGAACGTTTTGTAGGAATAACTTTCGTTAACTGTGAAGGAAAATTTTGTGATGAAATCTGCTTGTCCAAGAAGATGAAGAAGGTCACGTGTTGTATTTTTTATTTCCAGTCAATGCTGCTTAACATGCTGACTAGCGAATACATTACTATCGACAACCCTCTTGATGAAGGTACCTTTATTTTTATTTACCCGTCCATATTTTTATCGTAATTTACAAGCATCAGTTTCAACGTTTTCTCCTTTCACAGCTTGCCAGATTATCACCATATCACACCAATTTTTACCGTTTATTAACTTAATGTGTCCGATTGCTGGGTAACAGTCTCTAACAAACCTCCTCTGCTACCTGTCTTTGGCAATTTCCTACCACTTCTTCATCGAAATCTTCCCCTCAACCGCCTTCTCCACTGGCCCCATTGTCGCCTTCCGCGCTTCAGCCCCCCTGTGAATGACGACGTTCGCCTACTTCTCGAGTTTCATCCGACCAACAAGACCCGCCCAATTCCAATCCAACCACATCATAACACCAATAACCACTACTAACGCACTACCTGTATATAAATGTCAAATGACAAGGTGCTATATTGGATCCTCCAGGATAGGTACTTCGTGTCTCAAACAATAATAGTGAATAGTCCGACGACTGACAACGCATTGGTGATTTAAGAGGAATACGTAGTAATATTATTTGTTTTTTTTTTTGGTTATATACATATTTATTTATAGTCAGATTCATAGGTTACATATACATGCCTTACAGGCATATTACATAAAATATAATAAAATACAATTTATGTATACGTGTGGATTGCGATGTGTGACGCAACGTGGGTATCCGGTGACCAACCTCGTAAACGTCGGTACATGACATCCTTTAGCAAAAACTCATTCTTCATGAAGGTCGATAAATATTGAGTTGGTACTCACAACACGTAGGTATATACTCCACAATATCCGCAGACACACAATGAAAGCGTGACACATATAACAACGTCCTTGGTATCAACTGGACAAAATAGGATGATTAGAATCAGTCGGGGCGGTGCAACTAATGTTACGGCTGGTCTTCTTCCTTCTTGAAATCGTCCTCGTCTCCCATACCTCACATACCTCAACATAGCCCCGCACAACCATGGACACACACATAGACAACCACAAATTACACCCAAACTCACGAGAGAAATAGATGTGGGCCAGGCAAATATTTCTACCGGTGCGGGAATCGAACCTGAAACCTCTGCGTGGCAGTCCGGCATGGTAACCGTTCGGCCACAGAGGCAGTTAATTACGTTGTGGTGGATTTATATACCATAAAAACACAATAAAGCTACTAATGCTTTGCTCGTGGCTTAACAACTCGGGACACCCGTTTTTCAAACGCAACCAGAAACAACATGGCAATTTTACTAAATTTATCGGAACACTCCGCGACACAAATCTTTGGGTTTTTTTCCAGGGGAAACAGTTCGAGGAGTGTATGTCCTCAATCACAACATGATCATCTATGGCCCCAACTCCTGGGTGCAGTACAATATGCGAGGAGAACACCAGGAGACACATCCTGCACCCGAGACCACGCCTTATGATGATCATTGGGAAATACTCTGTAAGTTACTAAATGTACCAACAACAAACACAAGACTTTATGACGGGTGGCCATATTGCTAGGTGATATTTTTTCCTGATCGTACTGATGTATCTAGAAACCTCAAGTAACCTCTCATAGAAAACAAAACTAATCGTCTTATGTCTTGATAGTACCACATAGAACAAATTAATAATGCGAGTGAACGAATCAAAAGATAGAAACGCAGCTAATGAAGGTATGTGCAACATTGGGTTGTTGACGAGACACTGTGTAAGTACCAGGAAAAGGCGCTTCCGCCGCCCACTAGAAGGAAACAACCGTAAGACCGTCACAAAAAGAAACAGGCAGGCACCGACTTCTACAGAACCACCAATACGGGATTAATATGCTCAATTTTTAAACAATTTCGACAAAAAATCATACACGCGTTCACACTTAGCAATTTAGACCCCGTCATGAATATGAATATTTGAACATCCATCAACGTAACATTATGGTTAATGCATTATAGAATTGAATTGAACACAATAAAAATAAAATTCTAAATTAAAATTCTAAAAAAAAATTGTAGATACTATCTGTAGCCATATTTATGACAAAACTTGCATGTCGAAGGAGGTACAGGTCTTTAGCAAACGTGTGATTACTATAACCATTGGGGCAATGTGACAGATAATGGCTTAAATGGGCATAAATTATCTTCATCATCATCAATGAAGATAATTTGAAGAGGTTTTAGGCGTTCTTTCCAATTCCACCTTTACTTTTTCAGCAATGGAGTTCACCGACCTGGAGAACTATATCCTAACCATGTGGAGCGGCGATCTCGATGACGACAGAATGCTCATCTTCTTCTGCAAAAATGGCAATTATATGAAGCCATTGAGATGTCGAGGAGCCTTTGCTATGAATAAGACTTGGAGCAGGATTTACACCAGTGATCCTGAGAGGGGATATCAGGTAACTGTTTTCTGGAGTCCTTAAGTGGAGATCAGCTACAAGTTGCAGGATTGTAACTCAACGCACTCGCATTACTCACTTTTATATTCCGGCAAAACTACTTTGCCCTTGTTTTGGCACCACTGGAAAGGCAATGACGTCAACAACAATGGCGGCAGCGGCACTTCTAACCGTTAGTGAATACTAAAGATGTGCGAGTATCGTAAAATCGTCAGCGGCGGCGTCTGATGGTATTTCCACCGGCGGTCGTGGCATGATCAATAAAAACATTGTTGAAATCAATCTTTCAACTGCGGCCTAATTTTTAACATTTTTTACACTTGTACTTCAGCAGGTATGCAGGTACTGTTACTAAAAATAATCAACTTATAGAATCTAAATAACAAATCACATAAAAATAAATGCTCTTAATTTATTTATTTGATTAATCAAATCTAGAATATTGGTTCTGTGTAGACAGAATTATTCAGCCGTTTCTCAACCGACACGCATGAAATTTGCAACTAGTCCAATAGATACAATTTTACAGATCGTAACTTGGACTGAATTTTGAATTTCAACCTTGTAATCTGAGATAATTGAGGTTGAAGGCGTCCATGTGAAAAATATTCAATTGTAAATATTTTGAGTGCCCAAATGTACAGAACTGTGAAACAATAAGAATGGCAGCTACGCTTCGGTAAGGAATCGACTTTCCGCCTATTGATTATAACGTAACAATGTCTCTTAATCCAATTGAATTAATGATCTGATAAAGAAATTCGAAAGAAGACAACAGGCGATTCACCGGAGGAGAAACGGGAAAAACTGTTTTGCTGATCAAATGGTTTACGTATTTACTATTAAATAACGGTCTTCCAAAAAATTTACGATACACCTAAGAGTATTGTATAAAAAAATTACTAATATGTTTCACAATATAGTATATCCATACTTTATTTGATAATATAAAATCCTGAAAACAAGGCAAAATAAAAGTCTAACTTTGTACGTAATCTTTATATGGAGATCTTTATCTTTAAGTATTACAAAGAACCTGCTAAATTTTGGTTTTTTAACTGAAGCTCTATTAGTTATTAAATCATATTTATCCCAAAATTTGCAAATTGTCCTGTGGCTTAACAACCCGCCGTTCTGCCCGCTGCCCCTTCAGTCGCCATCGGGCGCTTGTCGTCGTAGGATCTGTGTCAAATTCATATTGGTTTACAGCTCACTTCCTAATGTTTGGAAGTTCACAACGTGTTGAATAGGTCGAGATCGTATCGCTCATTAAGTTCCATACACTGTGAATATGGTAGTGGATTTTCCCTTGCATCATTAGTTGAAGAATCCGGTATCTATTGCCCCTCGTTAAGTGGCCAAAATACTTCTTGTTCTTAGTTATATTTCATGAACATCTGTTCAATTGTTGTTGATCATCAGCACTTTTCCCGTTTAAGAAAATTGTTTTATTTTAATCAGTTTCTTTACTAATTATTTACTATTATTTCTATACAATATTTATACCATTAAAATACATTGTGTTTCTGTCTTGGTACATCTAATTCATACGAGATTCAATTTATTAAGAGCGTTCATTTTTATATAATTGTTTTTTTTTTACAAACTTTTTAGAAGTTTATTATTTTTTGTTAACAACACCTACTTACCTGTTACAAGTTCAAAAAAAACTTGAAAATGAATTCAAATACTTATTTAAACAATGTTTTTAAACAGTTGTAAAATATACCAGATTTTCATGGTCGGAAAACCATCAGACGCCGCCGTACAAGATTTTGCAATTGGCACCCATCTCTAATCACAAGGGTACGGCAGAATTTAAGTCATAAAAAATAAATAATTTAAGGTAACTATATTCGAACTTGAAGAAGAGAAATGTTCCTGGGAGAGAGTACAAGAACTTAATCATAAAGAAACAGATACTGCAGAAGCCATGCTACAATTGAAAAGAGGAAAACAGGACCGGATGTTGCTTGGTAAGTGATTAACTTCTTCTCTCTGAAGTCTTGAATTTAGTTAACTATAATGACTAAGTGGTTAAATATTTTACCATGTAACTTAGTCAATCTGTCAGCCATGTAAAGAGCTAGAAACGTTGGTTTGTTTGAATAAAAAAAAACAATTATGTGCTTGTTACATTTGGAAAAACCAAATGTTTCATTTCTAATGAAACTACGGTTTCGATTCCTGGTAAAGACAATTAAGAAATCAAATTTATCTAATCTGATTCTGGTGTAACAGTGCTCTCAGATCTTATTTTACTTATTATGGGTATTCGCTCATACTATATGACATACCTTAGTGTACTTTAAAATATTACTGCCATTGTCATGCACAATTAATTGAAGGTACAGCATAAGCTTGGCCATCTCAGACTCTACGTTCCTCCGTTCAATGATAGGTGCTGTTAATATATGAACCCCCAATGACACAATCAAAGCATATTCAAAATTCGTTTTACAAGAATTCCATAAGTTGTCAATTTTAATATATGCTCTAAAATTTACTACACGAATTCCAGCAACAACAACATATAGTTTTGTGGTATGGGATTTCGAACATATTATCCCGAGAGACAAACATGAGGAAGAAAAGAAAAAGAAGAACGACGAAGACGAAAAGAAGGATGAAGAAGACAAAGAAGAGGTTTGTGAATAACGATTTGAATTTGAAAACGAACCTAACTCAACATAAATCTTTTATTATAGCATTATGTCAACGCTTAAAGCATTTTGCAGATCGATGCTGGATGAACCATGTTAAATAGAAGACGTTAATAATAATAAACCTTGTTATGTATTGGCAACAAATGTGGTTTCTGATTCTGAAAATATAAAGCAGACAAATGCTTTCAGTAAGACCATACCATTTTTCATATTTCTCTATTGATGTTTCTAATGAATAAATAGAGATTTTTAGTAATTGTCCATTGGGTGGACAGACGACCTGATAAAAGTTGCTGGAACGTGTTGAATGCAAAAGACTCAGAACCGTATACGATGTATGTTTATAATAAAGGCGGTTATTTAAACCGTGTGCATTTAAAACCGATATAACTTGCTTTTGGATCTTTAAATAGCAGTCCTTCTATATCATTTACATAAATATTTTAGCAATAAAAATTAATTAATAACTTGTCATACAATAGTTCAAATATTGTATAGTATGGACCAGACAGGACGGACATGTGCCTGAGACGTCGAGATCACCACATCTATTACCACAAACGTCCTTATGAAATCACTGTATAATTCACCATTATTAGGACGATCAGATACTTTAAAAACGACTTACTTTTATAAAAGGAAATGGTATATCTACAAGGATTGACGTCAGAATTCCTGTTATAGCATAAGAAATAAGTTACTCCAAAATTTCTCAACAAAGCAAAGGTTACAAATCTGTCAATTTAACTTTTTATATTTAGGAAGAAAAAGAACCTGAGCCAGAAAAAGATTATCGCTTCGAAGGCATAGTGTTGAAGCTTCCACACACTATCAGGAACATTTCGACCAAGATGACACAGTCCAATTCTTTTATGATCAGCAACAACAATCAGTACGCTGTTGCTGGTGTCAGGTACAGAAAGCCATTGTTCATGGGCAGCCATTTTGAAAAATTAGTGCTGTATAAAAAATCGGTAGCAATAGATCCCTTGCAAGTTTTTTCTGCCCCTATTAGTGTGAGGAATATTAGCCATTCTTGCATCGGTATGTAGTTTGTGAATCCCCACGAGCCGTGAAATATCCCTGAACCATCTGACATATATCAATACACCGATAATTACTAGATCAAAGCAACTCCAATACTTTAATCAAATTCTAATACCCGTTATAACACTAATGTGTAAACCACCACCACGAAGTTGAAGCCGATGCCTTGATTTCCAGAAAAAATCTCTACGTTTGGAGTCTCGAAACAACAAAACTGATCAAAATCCTCGATGCCCATTTCGGAAGGATAGTCCAACTGGAACCATTAACAGTCGGAACTTGGAACAACGTTATTACTTCTTCCATCGATCGGACTGTAAAAATTTGGAACATAGATAACATCTTTGAACAGGTCCATAAAATTGACAGACAGGAATTGCCTATTGATTCTATCAGGTATGACACGTGCTTATAAAGAATACAACTGATCCAAATATCGAAGGCCATTCGTCAGCAAGTATCAGAGCTTTTCTTACAAACCAACACATAAAATTGTGTAGTCATAAAATATTCTCCGATAAGTAATTGTATTTATTTGTTTATGTATCAAAGTGTCCCACAATATAAATATATTTTATTGCACACTTAAAGATATTACATTATAACATCATACAACATAAAACAGGGTTGATACAGAAAGTGATCATATTGCTGAGAAAATAAGGTATTCCAAGCAATCTTGAAGTAAAATCATGGTGAAAACCAATTGAATCTTTATACGAATCCCAAATACTTTTATTTCCAGTCTGGCTCGGGACAAGCAACTCGCAGTCACAGTCACTAGAAGTTGCTGGGGCCTCTGGGATACCAGCACTGGAAGGCTTCTGGCTCAACTTGCCGATGCGCCTCTTGGAGCTATTGTGACCCATGCTGTGATCACTCCGACGGGAGAAAACGTGCTCACTGCTGAATCTGGGAATGTTGTCATATGGGATTTGGTAGAAAAACAGGTTCAAAATCTCACTGTTGCATATAAAAAATGTGTTTTCTGCCCCTTTTTTTACGGCCAACTAACTTCTGGCGGCGGTCCATTTATGTCCAGGATAAAAGTAATGCTAAACTAGAAAGTACAAGTTGTTTAGTGAATGATGAGATAAACAAACGTCAAAACAAATTTAATTGCTTCTTTGATCTAGCTTTCGCATGGACTTAAACAACTAATATTCTCGCTATATTAAATCTTATATTCTAGGTAATATACAAAGAAGAACAGAAGGGAGTAAAACAGCTATTACTCCTAGAAGAGGGAACCAAATTTATTACAATATCGATGCAAGGTTCGAATGATAACGTTGATAGTATCACCGTGGCTCATATTGTTGCTAGGACTGTCCCTGGTACGCAATTATTTCTAGTCTTTGATCATAAAATACGTCTAAAAGCATGGTTAAAAGTGATATTTACATCGACCACAAAAACTTAATCGTAAATGTAAACGTTTTTGGATTTAAACAGCTTTGATTTTTAATGTATTAGACTGCAGTTTTAGCGCCAACTCGCTTACCAATTGTTTATTTGGACTTCTAGTTCCTAGTCCAGGAATTGCCCATTTTACACCGAACGGTTCGATGACTTGATAGGTCGAATTTCATTTTGTGGGGGCTAGTAGCAGGCGGTTTAAAACCGCCACGGTTTACTATTGGGGATGCATGACATGTATTCAGCAGTATACAACTTTCATCTGATGATGATTATATTCCGATGGTTAATGTTTTACGGACAGATGGAGAAAGAATCTATATAGCAGATTACGAAGTACGAGGCACGCTATTCCGTGCAGCAGTGGTCACTGCTGATGAACATCATATCGTCGCTCCAGGAGTTGACAAGTCGTCGAGAGATTGTCTGCATGTGTTCCATGCTAGGACTGGCGCTAGGTTGCACAGGTATGAAGATGAAAGTTTGGGTTTCATAGATGTCATTCCTAAAAAGCGTTTCAACAGGGCATTAACGTTGTTTCTTCGCCACAGGATCCCGATAAAGAACAGTGGTATAAAGGATATGCAATCGATTGTGGCCCTGCCACACAAACCACTGTGGGTAGCTGTTATTGGTAACGACAAGGCTGGTATTCTCGATATCAAAACTAAGAGGCACATCAGGTAAGCGCTCTAGCAGTAAAGCTTCTTATGAAAGATTTCGTCTAGGAAAGTACTGTCACCATACCTATTTATGCTGCTAAGCAGTAATGTGGGAAATTTGAAGGGTAAGGGTGCCGGTAAAACTACACATAGTATTTATCAACTTGTGACGTGATAACAACGATCTAAGTGACACTGAAACTGTCTAGGGTAGGCTTGTCGCTAATATTACTACCAGGTACATGACTTGATCGTCTCGCCACTTCATGTAATAAAAAATGGCGGGTCACTGTCTTATTTTTAAGCTTACCTATCTCATCATTGACTTTCGATTTTTACGAACACAACGACATTCTCTTTAAGAACTCAGTTGGACCAGAGGGTCTATTCAAAACCTTACGATAACTCAGTTGTCGACTGATTCGATTTGATAACGTAAGACTTCTTTTCATTTTTATTCACAACACCCGAATCGAACGTCAAACTGGAAATTATAAACCATTCTCATGGACGCCGGAGCTTCTGGAGCATTTCGAAGCCTGTAAAGCTAGCCTATCTAGTGCCACGTTATTGCAACACCCGATCATGGATGCACCCCTTGGATTATTTACCGATGCATCAAGTGTCCATGTTGGTGCTTGCCTTCAGCAACAGGTGGACGGTGCCTGGAATCCCCTTGCTTTCTTCAGCAGGAAATTGACTCCTCGGCAAGCTCAGTGGCCTGCTTATTATCGGGAATTGCTGGCGGTGTACGAAAGCGTACAACATTTTCGCTACATTCACCAAGTTCACGAGGCCGTTTTATTGTTTGTTAGGGGAGCAATAAATTCCCCAAATGTCGTATTCCAAACCAACCGAAATGACGTCACACCCGTACGATTACTCGAACTTGTCGACTGACAAAGGCTACAAACGTTATTCAGAATACGGTTATCGGGCGTTCGGTAACTTTCATTCGGTGTCTACAAAGCAATAATGTAATATGGAAATCTTTCATTATTTTAAATAAAGTCTGGATTTTGTTCAATTTTATTAATTTATTTTAATGCTAAACTAATGCATTCCTATATTTTTAGGCCTTTAAATTCTTAAACATGTACATACAAGAATTTTACTTTTAACCGACTTCAAAACAGGATGAGGTTCTCAATTTGACTGTCTTCTTTTTTTTTGTATGTATGTTACGCGATAACTCCGCTATTTGTGAACCGATTTTCATGATTCTTTTTTTGTTGGAAAGGGGTACTTCCATAGTGGTCCCATGTCATTTTGAAGAAAATCATCCACCTTTAAGGGTGGCTGTTCACGCATGAAGATTCATTTTTACAAATAGCGCCTAAATTTAATTTAGGAGCAATTATTTTAATGGTTGTTTTTCCTATTTCTCCAATTCAAGGCGTTTTTCTCTCAATATACTTTGAGTAGTGAGCACCTATTATTATTTATCTCCAGTGCCAAATCCTGTATAGTGGCGAACTAGGGGATACTTCAATAAAACTTAGCAAATAGACGTAGTTCCACGTACTTATGAGATCCGTTTTTTTAGTACTCTGAGATTATTTCTTATAATCTATTTCACCGACTAACTCCGTAAACGCTGTTGGATAACGATATCGTATCCGAATCAGAATCCAACGTTTAACTCGAATGTTCTGAATAGCTCGGAAAGCGCCCTTCGATTCGAGAACGTTATCCAGGCAAACAATTCGGTTAAAGTATCGAAGAGTTCTGAATCGGGGTCCAAGTCCGTAACCTTGTCCAACGCTGGGGACTACTCATTGAGCTTCTGATAATTAGCGTGTATTTTTAATCTTCAGATTTGTACCACGTTGGAACGGCTCCTGTACACGCGACGGCAAAATTGGCCTATGTGCTCCCACCCGCGGTGGCCTTGAACTTATAGAACTGAAGCGTGGAACCACAGTTCAACCATTAATCTCCAGAGCGGCTGAGGGTGTCTTCTCCATTATTACCATGTTCAGTTCGACGGACCAGAATGTGTTTTATTATCATAGTGGGAGGAAGACTTTGAGGGTTTTTAGGTGAGGTTGGAACTTAGCCGCTCACGCGATGCGCTCCTCCTACTGCAAAATGGCGGCTATTTGGTTTCGCAAATTAGAAAAGCATTCACTTTAAATACAAGTTTTTATAAATAAAAATTATTATTCTGCATTACTAAATACCCTCCGTACTACCAACAAAAACATCTCAAATAAAATGCAGTAATACACCGCAAATCCTGCACTTAAAAAGCACTAATGAAATTTTTGGTGTACTTGGATAAATATGATAATATTCGGTTTGAGTGATTTAACGTTTACCATGAAATTACTCCTTAAAGTATAGTTTATAAATATTTATATTCAGGGTAAACTTAAAAAACGCTACTTACGGTAGGTTTTCTATAAATAAACACCGAAATCACCAGCCCAAACAATAACACACACGATTGTCGTGACGTATTTTTGAAGTTGTTTATTTTTTTTAAATGACAGACCCAGGCATTAAAAACTTTATGGTTTGCTAGAGTAGTTACCGAAATAGCAATTAACATTAGTTCTTTTACCTGTTGTAACTTCGATATCCGAAAAATCGGCACCACTAGGTGTGGTATGCGTCTACGGCTGCATGTATCGCGTGAGCGGTTAAAGGGATCTGTTTATAGCTCCTGAATGGAATTCTGATCTACTTCCCATGATTATGACGTAAGCAAGGCCAGAAGATGGTTGAATCAGAGCGTATGCACAGAAATGTATGTTTTATTAAAGATTGATTATGTCAATGCGTTTCTGCCGGCTGTTAAGGAAATGTATCTGATTGGCGAAACGCGGTCAACGTGTCGCGTATTACACGCAGTTAGAAACGACGCTTTGAAATCGACCTAATACGAGCAATGTTCAACTTTAGCTTATTGTTATATTTTGTTTTCACCACAGGACTATAGACGGCAAAGCAATAGCTGAATATCGTGCTCCGGCAGAAGTGACCGCCGTCGCAAGCGCACACGGCGGGAAGGCAGTCGTTTTAGCGGGCCAAGATGGCTGCCTTACTATTTTAAACATTGTCGATCCGTACGAATGAAATACGTAACATTGCTTAACGGATATTCACAACAAATCTAGGATGTTTCCTTAATATAAAGAACTGTAGGTGAAAAATTCCTTCTCGTATTTTACCCTCTCTTTATAGGCGTCTCATGCCCAATACAATTTCACTATTACTAGCATAGACTGTAGAGAATTTAAAAAATGTAGTTTGTCTGATCTTTCGCTGGAATTTGGAATGATAACAGAATGCCACTGAACCTCAACTTTATTATCTTCGAAGTTGAGAAACTCTACATTATTATCTTTCTCGTTTCTGTGTTAAATTACTAACATGAGTGTAAACGAACACACAGTATCTTCTCCAGTATTTACAGCCTAGTACTATTTTGGGTTATTTATAAAATGCTAGCATACTCGTAGGTGTATATTACTAACATCATAAACTATGTTTATTGCATGACTTAATAATATCGCTCTGAACGGTAATAAATGTGCTGGGTAACTCTTTTTTTACACTAAGCTTTTGCATTTGGCCGTTGATGGCTTTGACTGCACCACTGAAGGCTCTTAACCCGTTAAAAATAAACTAAAACAGCTTGCCTGAGGGCGCCCAAATGGGTACGGACCTCGGCTCCGCCAGAAGGGCGTGCTATAGAAGAGAATCTACTAGTGTACGTGCTGAAATGGGGGACTCTACGACCTCACCGGCGAGGCCAGTTGTTATTATGTGGAGTTAGCGATCTGGTTGGCCTTCAAAGCGGTGAGAGTGACAGGGTCGTCAGGGTCGTTGAGGACTTCCTTGGGCCGACGGGTCCTATGTACAGTTAGCTGTGAGGTAACAAAAGAAAGAAGAAAACGCAGAGGAGAGGACTTTGCACGTTTGAACTTACAACTTTATTCAGACACAACAAAAACTTCAAAGTTTGTTCTTGGTAAATTTATCATGTTTTGCAAAACAAAAGTCTTTGTTTATGATGTTAGTAATATAATCCTTACAAATAACCCTGTATGTACCTTGTTAAATTTTATCAATAGTTTAGTTAAGTTATTTTATTGTGATAATAAGCGAAAGGTTTTTGGATATAATTTTCGGATAGGAAATTGAAATTGAAGTGATTGGTTAGCTACTCAGATTTAGGTAAAGTTAGTGATAGTTTATTTAGTAGTACTTATTAGATATATTTATTATTTAGTTACAAGTAGTAGTAGTATATTTCTACAAAACAAAAGAACGATGTACGCTACCTTTTTTTCAAATTCTCAAAAGAAATACCTAGCATAGTATAATAAGAACAAGTACAGCAACTCCCGCCTGTTTAACTCACAAATACCTACACTTCACTCGGAGTTGTAGGGTTCTTACAATCATTGTTTTAGCTGCACCTACAGGATGTCAAAATAATTTGAAAAAATTAAGATGTTTTTATGTAATCTCTTGCCGTATTGAATTAACCTTTTTCAAATGCAGAAGGTTACCCACTTACGTAACATTTTATACCAGCACCGAGGATTGGTATATCTTGATTATGGAATATAAACGAAATGTTGAATTTGAGGCACTCTTGTTGAAACTACCACAAACATAGACACGTGTATTTTTTTATATGTAAAGAAGGAGGCAAAAGAGCAGGAGAGTCACTCGATAGGAGGTGGTCACAGTCGCCCATGGACATTTGCAACATCAGATGAGCTGCTTATGCGTTGCCAGCCTTTGAGAGCCCCGTAAACACGCTTTTTAAAGAACCCCATGTCATAGCGCAAAGGATATAATTCTGGAGGAAGATCATTCCACACCTTGCAGGTTCGAGGAACAATGCTAGGCATCTAAGATGTGGGGATGGATTCTACTCCTTTGCCGGGAGGCGCGATGGCAGAAACGAGACGGTGGCACCAGTTCGAAAAGTCCCTCAGAGCACTCCCCATTATAAAGACGGTAGAACACACACAGAGAGCCAACGTCTCTCCGTAGGCTAAGGGGATCCATACCGTCTGTGATTTTGGGATCATGGATAATACGAACAGCCCTACGTTTGATGGAGTCAAGTGGGTCAAGCTGATATTTGGGAGCTCCTGCCCAGAGATGCGAACACTACTACGAGTACTACGTGTATTTAATGTCATTTCTTAGACACTGAGCGACCGCTTCAATTCTGTAATGAATGTCGCGTGTGGCAACCCTCGTTATGCAACGCGAGTATGTCGCGAGTTATGCGGGTGTGTGCGTTCGTACTAGGGTTGTCATATCAGCATCCGCATCCGCGAATAATTCGTATAAAATCAAAGTCATCTTAATTTCTTATGTAAACAGTTTACATTTCACATCGTCATATTGATTAAACTCTATTGCTCATTCTTAAGGCAGATTCCCCTGAGAAGAATGAGCGTTGCTCTTTGTCAATGTACATTTGAATACATTTATCATTTCGAGTTCTTAGGTTTTCGCGATTGTTACACATAGGAAATGAAACTACTTTTCCGGATTTAAATCGCGTATATTTGTTTTTTCAAACAAACCAACGTTTCGGGCCCTTTACAGGTCCCATGGTCACAGTTAACAGAAGTGGTACAGTCATCAACCAGTTTTGTCTAATATTAATGTAAACCACCTTATTTTTTCGCTATAGTTACAAAAGTTATTAATTAAATGCCTTATTTTTAATTTTACAAAGAACCATTCCAATTTACGCGTTTTACATTTATCGTTTACAATAATTAGTTCAAACATCTTAGATCGAAAATACCTGCAAGAGCTAAGCGGTTAACTACCACAGATTTTGTAATCCAAGTAGGTACGCAGAAGCTGTATAATAAACCTTTAGAATCAAGTTTTTGTTTCACTATAGTTTGAAACCTCGTAAATGGCAAATATGCATTGCCCCTTATATGAAAAAACTTAATTACATTTTCATAAATGTACGGACAACGGCTCGTCTACACATTTTTGTTCGAAAATCGCCTCCAGTGCAACGGAACAAGATACGTCAATGTGTAGCTTGATGTGCTGGCGTGGTACATGGACGCTAGTGTTAAGAATGTTAATCTCTTTAAATTTACCTCTAAAATGACACTCTGGGGCCCAGATTGTAAATTGCCCTAACCGCACGTTTCTGCAGGACAAACATTTTAGCAAAATATGGTATGATATTAAACTGTGAAAGTAGCTGAAGTAAACCAATTTAGCGGTTTCGATGTCTGAAAGTTTTCGTATTTTTTTAATCGCGTACACTGCAGAGCTGAGCCGTTTTGATAACTTACTTATAATGTGGACCCCGTTGCTATTTAGCATCTAAAGTAAAACCTAGAAATACAACTGTAGCAAAAAATTTAAATCCACATCTGCTACCGCATTGATTGATGCGGATATTCACTGCGGATATTCTCGTCATGACATTAATTTACAAACCATCCAGAAACAGACTGAGTGTGAGTAAATATTAGTATGATTAGGCTAGGCAGATAGATTGATTTTTATGCAGGTAATCTTTTTTTTGGTAATAAACGTCACAAAATTATTGATAACATTAAAAAAGATTTAGGGCTACATTTTTTAGGACGTTTTTAATTTGTATTTTTAACCGACTTCAAAAATCGAGGAGGTTCTCAATTCGACTGTATGTTCTTTTTTTTGTATGTATGTTAAGCGATAACTCCGGTATTTGTGAACTGATTTTCATGATTCTTTTTTTGTTGGAAAGGGGGTACTTCCATAGTGGTCCCATTTTATTTTGAAGAAAATCATCCACCTCGAAAATGCTGTTCACGCATGAAGATTCATTTTTATAAATAGCGCCTAACTTTAATTTAGGAGCAATTACTTTAATGGTTGATTTTGCTATTTCTCCAATTCAAGGCGTTTTTCTCTCAATATACTTTGAGTAGTGAGAACCGATTTTTATTATCACCAGTGTCAAGTCCTGTATAGTGGAGAACTAGGGGATATTTCAATAAAACTTAGCAAATAGACGTAATTCCACGTACTTTTGAGGTCGGTTTTTTAGTACTCTGTACTGATCATTATTTTGTTTTTTATTTTATTTATTTGGGAAACATCATAACACTAACTGCATCATAAAATACATTTCATTTTTAAAATATATGAAACAAACACTAGCCAAAACAGTCTCCACTAATGTTTAAAATAAGTTACCTAGATTTCTCATAAATGGCGCTACGACTAAAAAGTCGTTCAAAAACCATATACAAAGACACGACAACAAGCGCATAGAAAAATTCGTGAGGTCCGCTGGTTCGTTCCGTGGCTTAGTTGGTATAGCGCCTGGCACGGTATGTAGAAGACGTCAGTTCGAATCCGGCCAGACCGAAAGAATTTATTGCTTTATTCAATATTTTATGAGTATGTTTTGCGATACTCGATTTATGAATTAATTTCGATGTTTGTTTTTTTGTTGGACAAAGGGTACCGCAGTATTGGTCTCATTTAAATTTAAAGAAAATATTCCACCTAGCAAACTAGGGGATGAATCCGGTTTCTCGCACTTTCCGGTGACCAATTTCAATAAAACTTGGCAAATATATGTAATTGCACGACCTTTGGAGGTCGGTTTTTTTTTAATAAAAAAAGTCACAATTATCAAATAAATAAAATCAGCAACCGAGTCTGCATACGTTGGTGTGTAAAAAACCTGCATCAGTAATAACCCAGTTTCATACACGGGGCGCGGCGGGCGTGCACTCATACGTTTGTATGAACTGACCATACTTGTTTTCTATTATACTATGTACCAAGTTAGGAAAAGGAGCATTAGTTGCCTCATTATCAACAAAAAACAAAACACTCCACTTGTTCTTGCACGTGTTATTTTTCTGGTAGTTCCGAGGATATTTCTTAGGTGAATTTTATTATTGTAGATACAAAAACAATGTTCTCTAGAGGTTGTAATTTCTTTAATAGGATTGTATTCAGTCTCTTCACGCACTTCAAAAATGTTAATAGCATAATAAAAACAATGATCTTACTTTGTCTTGTTTATTTTATTCATTTGATCTCAAAAACTTTTATAACATTGACTTTTCTAACACGTTATACAAAATAATAGTAGCAGTAGAGTTTGTAGTGAAAAATTTCGTCCAAGGAAGTACTGCCACCTTATCTATTTCTGCCGCCAAGCAGTAATGTAAGCATTATTGCTGTTTTGAAGGGTAAAGGTGCTGGTCTCAGGCGCAGTGGCAGTACCTCTCAGATCTTTGTAATTTAAACTTGCGCACGACTTGTTCGCCCGTCACTTGATATCATAAAAAAATACAAACCACGCTGGTATGAAGTCGCAGTTATATTTCTCCCTTACATCAAGATTCAAACTGGATTTGTTAGCAAAACTTAGGACACCTGTTGCAACAAAAAAAAATCTTGTTTAGATTTTTTGAATATCAATTCAATACAAATTTAATTACAAATAGCGACATCTCTAGCCAGGGCTGCTAGCTGTAAAGTTACCTAACTGGGTGACGAAATAATTTCATAGATTTTTCATATATGCTGATACGGCTAAAAAAAGTCCTTGAAAACCAAATATAAAAGATACGATAACTAGAGAAACTCGTGAGGTTCGCTGGTTCGTTCCGTAGCTTAGTTGGCATAGCGTCTGACACGGTTTGATAAAAGACTTCGGTTCGAATCCGGCCGGATCCAAGGAATTTTTTCTAACTGTTCGATCTTTGTATTAATAACTACAACTCTTAATTAAATTTTTATTGAATTGATATTCAGTTATTTTTTGTGAAATTACTCCACTAGTTTGTTATAATTATTAATTATACGACTAAAAAGTCGTTGAAAGACCAAGTACAAAGACACGACGCAAGCGCATACAAGAATTCGTGAGGTCCGTTGGTTCGTTCCGTGGCTTAGTTGGTATAGCGTCTGACACGGTATGCAAGAAGACGTCGGTTCGAATCCGACCGGATCGAAGGAATTTTTTCTGAGTGTTTTTCTGAGTGTTCGATCTTTGTATTAATAATTATAATTACAACTCTTGTTTAAATTTTGATCGACTTCTTCTTATCGCATCGATGACATACATTATACTATTGTGGCCCAGAACTCAGCCACGCCGACCGCGTCACTAGTAATTGCCATTAAATCCTCAAGCGTGCAGGTGTAAAGGCACGCAGGGCACGATATGAGGTGGGCTATCGTTAGTATCGCACCGCACAAGCAGTCCAGGTTAGAACCATCCGAAAATCCCCACCTGACCAAATTGTCCTTGCTCCGACCAGCCTGAGTTCGACGCCTATTCAAACACGTCCAGATCGGCCATGGCAATTCGTGTCCAGGAGGAAGACTTTCAGAAAGCGGGACGATGATATAATAGATGGTATTCTTTCGCGCCAAAGGTTGTTCCTTGCCGGAGCCGGCTCAATGCTCGGAGGATCGAACACAACTTTGACAAAACTTTTCCGACTTCTCAGTCTCTGTTGCACTGTGAAGTAATCAAGCGTAGGGTGCCGATCGACTATAAACGTATTGTATAGAATAGCAAATTTTTATTCTTCTCTTCAGTATTCTGCTCTTCAATGCCAAGTAGAGATAGTAGTAGTAGAGTAGAGATATCGGGGCCCACTGTCGCAAGCGTGTCGCGGCCGGTTTACAGTGCGGATCGCCGTGATTGCACGATCGTTTATCGTGTAATCGATTATTATATGAAGACAGTTTAAATTGATCGTAATCGCGATTCTTTCATTTGGTGGTCTGGAAGGATCAAACAGTACCTAATTTTAACAAATTTTGCAAGACTTTATAGCGAAAAGCTTTCCTCTGAAGCTCGAAGAAAGTAAACGTAACCGACTTTACCACTTACTGCAGAAATACTGATCTTCATCCAGCATAATTTGCTTTTATTGAAGTTTGAGTACTAAATTTACAGATTACGTTATCTAACTTCATACCTACTTCTTTACTTGTACAATTAACAGATCTGCCGTCAGCTAACTATAACGCGACAAAATATTTTTTGAGATATCGTAAACAACCATAACTCAATTTTAGAATTGAAATTGTTTTATGATATTTCAGCTACGCGTCGTTAGGGTAAGTTCCGATAAGTCGACCTTTACTAATTATAACTGTTTTTGAAGAATTTTGTGATTTATTTTTTTACTAGTTAGTGGACGGCAGAGATTGTCAACGATCGTGTAGATGCTATTTATTTATCCTATTACTGTCCTCTTTAATCAATTTATTCAGTTATGTTGTGTTTTCGGACAGATGTCTTGATTAACTTAAGGAATAGCCAACCCGCTGCTTTCCACGTAAGGGGGAGATAATATAAACTCAATAAATTTTTCTTATTCTTATACATAGCTAAGTAGCAACAGTTCTGTTATTCCGACTCGGTGTTGCCGTTTAAACTGACTGATAATTATTGATAATATATGATGATAACAGAAAGCGCAGTTGAAACGGCAATACTGTCAAGAAGAAATAGCGATTTTGACTCCAAATGATGGAATAATGGCAGCAAGAGGATTATGATGACACGAAAACACTCATTCGTTATAGTATACCATATTTATTAAAACCTATCTTGTTCAATACAATGGCACTACTAATAATTAAACTTATATCAAGTATTATTGTAGGTCTTGATTTCACAAATAACTGGTAAAAACGAGAAAAAGGTACGTACTGTTTTGAAACTATAAACAAATTTGATCTATTTATTTATTGATTTATTCATGTAATGTCAGCAACAATAAATAAGAAACAGGTATAAAAACATACAGCCAATTACAGGTTTATGTTCACTGGCATTTTAAATAAATTGATCTGTAGTTACCAACAAAATAATCTGTCGTTATAAACAAATTGGTTGTCACTACAAACAGAACTGCGATTTGAACATAGGTAAGTAAAGTAATCATTTACAACAAACAAGGTCATTATCATAGGTTTAAAAATTGCATGACTTTTATTACGATTAAATTTCTGACTATCAACATAACTTATCGCTAATGTACATCGAAGAGAAAACTAGCATGAATATTTGAAAAAAAATTGTAATTTTTTCATAATTCTACCAAGATTTAGACTGCAAAGTAACAAGCTTTTACAGTCATACTAATGCGTAAACATTCTGTCTGCTTTTTGTCTACATACATCGAGTATATAACCAGAAGTAGAGACGAAATGTCATTTCATTTGTTCGAAAACTATTCTGCCTTATAATTACTGTGACAACTGCGCTCCGATTGGCCAGCCCGAATTCGAAACAATTGGCGGGTGTCGTCAATTGTTTCACTTCAAATCGACCAGTTAACTTGAGCTTTGCTATAATGGACGAAAATTGCAAAATTACATATATAATATTTGATTACCGATGAAATTTGATTCCGTTTGTTTTGTAATAAGATGTTTTGTTGTGTCCCCGCACCACCAAATGGAACAGCACGCCATTGTTAAAGATATTATCTGTATTACAATAAATACAGAATATTTTTGGAATTTACGGAGACGTACACACAGGTCAGTTGTCGGCGCTGTCTATATTTCAGTGCATATGAGAGTTAATATTTACAAGTGATGTACCACTGATGAGTTACCAGTTATGTATGACCCTTATTTCGTCTCTATTCCTGGTTATATACTCCATTTCTACATATAACAGTGACACATACACGCTCAAGTTGTGGCTGATACTTGATAGAAGTTAAATCTCTTTTGTGTAACGCAGTGTTGAAAATTATCATTGATGATTATCATTCATAATAATCATTAAAAATTATCATTAATTACCATCACAAATATAACTTTATAATTCTCTTTATTTATAAAATTAATTGGAACGACAAAATGCTACCGCTAGCAATGTCATGCCATGGGTTTGTATCAGAAACGTATCCAAACTTGTCAAGTGTTAATCTCAAAAAAGGCACACCAAATTATTTTCCCAATTTCATGTTTATTTAGTTTTCTCACTGTTTGTTACTTATAGTCAAAAATTAAAGAGAAAACTGATGATATGAATCTCATAGATAATTATCGGATACATATCGCATAATTATCAGATGATTATCATGATAAAATTATCAAAGAAAATAATTATATCTCGATAATTTCGAATACTGGTGTAACGTATGGTTTATAATGGTTCCTAAATACTGTCACTGGCAAGAGCTGACACAAGATGACCAAAAATATTATCTGAAAAAATAATGCCGCTAGCCAGAAGTGACGATGTAGTATTCAGATGATTCAGACTAACGCCGGAATTTATTCGTAACCTATAGTACAACCACTTAAAACTCATATTCGGACACATAAATGTATATTCTGGCTACAGCTATACCTCCAAACTGGTCACCGTTATAGAGTTCCATAGATAATTCCAGATGTATACTTTGGGGACCGGTTAAAGAACGGACCAATGACATTACCGCTTGATTTTGAGTGTGCACCAATCTGCAAAAATAAAAATTACCAACTTTTAAAAAGAGTACCACTTGAATAAAAAACCTTTATCTACACCTGTACTTTAATCTGTCAATTATAATTTCGTGAACTATATCACAAAGGCGCTCTTTTTAGTTCTGAACCAAAATTCTAATGTCTATGGTACTCGCTTCGATAAGTAAACTGAAAAATTTCAAAAAAGGAACGTCGTATTTTCGTTATTTAAAACAGTCTCCTTAAACGCGTCACTGTGTTCTTGAACAGAATAATGTCTATATATTAACTGCCTCCGTGGCCGAACGGTTACCATGCCGGACTGCCACGCAGAGGTCCCAGGTACGATTCCCGGGCCGGGAGAAATATTTGTATGGCCTACATTTATTTCTCTCGTGAGTTTGGGTGTAATTTGTGGTTCTCTCTGTGTGTGTACATGGCACCCGAGATACAGGGTTTCCCTAGTGCGGGGCTATGTTGATTGTGAGCGTTGTGAGCGTTATTTATTTGTGAAGTTATTAAAATTCACATTATATTATCAAATAATATTACAAAATGTTACTTGTCAGGTACAAAGGCGTAACTATTTGGTAAAAAAAAACTATTTAGAAATAATATAAATAACACAAAAACAGTCTTTAAATAATTATTGGTTTTTTTGATTATTTATATATAGTTGCAGTACACCTTCTTGTGAATGATTTCGTCCAGGGAAGTACTGCCACCTTACCTATTTCTGCCGCCAAGCAATATAGTGAAGATACTGCGTTCTGGTTTCGTTTTCTCAACTTATGTGTCCGGGCATCAGGCGCAATGGCAGTGCATCTCGGATCTTTATGATTTAAGGCTTTAAATGGCACTGCAACTGTTATGGACAGGCATACGACCTGTCCGTCCAGTCGCTTCGTTTATTAAAAAAAGCGGGTTCATCACCGTGTCTTCACATTTTCAGGATTTTTTTAGATACTTACAAGAATGCGTTAATATCTGCCTTATTTTTAACGTTAGGCGGTGCGTTGGCTTCCACCAGACGTAGCTGGAACCTCATCTTCGCATTTGGCCAAGCTGGACCTCGCATTGTAAATAGATCCACCTGAACAGAACATGAATATAAATACAGTTTTTTTAGTAGTTTTTTATAGTTTTTTAGAGTACTTTATCTATTTCTACCGCAAAGCATTAATGTCAGTATTACTGTGTTTCGGTTCGAAGGGTAAGGCTGCTGGTGAAATTACAGGTACGTGGGACTTGTCGATTTATGTCTCAAGGTGACAGGTGCAGTGGCAGTGCCCTCAGATCTTTGATATTTAAATCTCTGTTCGTTCCGTCACTAGATATCATACATAAATTATTAATTTTACTGTTGCTGTCAGCCAATAGAGGAAAAATTCAATAGCCTTCAAAATGAATGCCTAATATTAAAATTAAATAGTACCAAAGGACACAAACCTTTGATTCGGGTATGTAGAGGTTAGAAACGAAGGTTATAAAGTTGTAAGAGTACGTTGTTGGCTGGTGTGCACAATCCCAATCGTGCGGTGGGCAGACCTTTTCTATTCTAGTGCATCGGCTGTAAAAACAAAAATTATTTGTAAACAGTAGTAAAAATCGCTCGTTATTTTATAAATAATGATAACATTTAGAATTAAATTTTTATTGAATTGATATTCAATTATTTTTTGTGAAATTACTCCACTTCGGTTAACGGGAAATAGGAAAATCCAATATACCAGGTTCATCCCCTATGGGACCAATACTGAGGTACCCTTGTTCCAACAAAAAAAGATTCATCAAAATCAGGTCACTAATTTTTTGATTAACGCGTACAAAAAAATACTGTCGAGTGAAGAACCTCCTCGTTGTTTTAAGTCGGTTAAAAAGAACGCGCTAGCGTAAATACCCAATCCGATACAAAACGCTGAACTGAGGTTGGGGGTTATCGGGGAGAACGCTTGCAGGTTTGAACAAAAATTTAAAAGTATTTTTTGGTAAATTTACTATGTTTTTTTTCAAAAAGGCTTAGAACGAAATTCGTCGTTTATGAGGTTAGTCATAGGGATAATATTATTTCATCCTCAAAGAAATAATTGATGTATTGTAAATGTGCACTTTTTAAATAAACGATATTTTTTTTACGTTTGATTCCATATTAGATATAAGGATTAATTATAAATGAACTGCATTCAATGTCATATCAGTATTAAGCATACTGAATTAATATTTGGTATTCAAAAATAATAATATTTAATTTTTTTTTAACGATTGATGACATTTATAACCAGTACATCTTTTGATATTGATCTCCTAATAAATCTTGGTAGCTTGATTGCTCCCTCCATTGAGTAGGTTAGGTTAGTATGTAAAAAAGCTGAAGCCAATTTAAAAAAATATTTTCAGGTCAAATTGTGTTATTAGACTATAATATTAGGTATACAAATGTAATCAACATTTACTTAGTTCTAAAAATAAGTATCTAAATTTTTGTTTTTAATGCTAATGTCCTAGTTTTGAGGCCCAACATAAAACTATCAAAGTTAATTTATACATATCAAACATATTTTGCGTAGCTCACATCCATCGATTTAATTTATTTTATGTCTCAGAGAAAGAGGAACAATTATTAAAAAAGATGACCGTTTAGATATTTTACCCGCTGCTTTTGCAAATTTAAAAAGATCATTTAAATACATGCCTTTTTAATGTTCATTTGTCTTAGTTTTGAGACCCAACTTATAAGCTTAGAATAATAACGCATAGAAACCCAGTCCGCTCACGCTAAGTGAGGCAAATTGAAGCGCGCCCAAAGGGCCTCCACTGAAGGCCCTTCAGTGCTCAAGGTCAACTTGCACCGCGAACAGATCAAGAATTTTAGCTAAAAAGGACGAAATGTGCGGTAAATGAGTGTAAAAATACGTCAGACAAACATAAAATAGATACTAACATCACATTCCACAAGGAAGTAACGCGTTTCAACTTGTATTTTTATATAAATATTCACTAAAACCGAAAATTAACCTACTACTAAAACTAGCCTACATGAATTTGATTTTTGCCTCACTTGTGACAGTTCGTTTGATATGAAACTATCATTCTATGCATTATTATTCTAAGCTTATAAGTATCAAATGTAATTTATACAAATCAACCATTTTTTGCGTAGCTCAGAAACGATTAATATATCCATCGATTTATTTTACGTCCATTAAAACACACGTGTGTTTTAACGCCTAATTATGTACAGTTACACTGCTTTATCTATACACATATTATACGCTCTCTATGTGTTCAGGAACCACATATTACGACTGGCAAAATGGTGGCAAATAAAAACTTTTCTCACAACATGGCACACTACCGTAGTTTTTATTTAATTCATAGACAAACTAGAGTTTGCCGCAACTATCATATCGTTCTATATCAAGCAACGTGTGAAATTCTTGTCAATAGCAAATAATTTTGACAAGAATTCGAAATGTCGAATAAAACTTCATCTCGAGTGATATTAGAATTGAGGTCGAATGAAATTGTTTTGTTTTTCAGAGATGTTCGAAATTTGAATGTAATAATAAAATCGAATTTGATGTTATTATGAAGCAATAGTAACATTTTCACAGATAAGAAATTTGTTCTAACGGAACAGTTTATTTTTAAGCTGGTCGTAATTTGCGGTTTTTCAACACATCTTATAGGGTTTATGACATGTGTGTAGATATAGTATTATTGCTTATTATTGCTGCATTATTGCTTAGGCCGGGAAGTATGGGATTGCTGGACGAGTGTGAGTTGCAAGGACGAGCGCCGGCGAGGCCTTGTATTAATACGAATCAAGCAATCCCCGTTCCCGCCGAGGCATGTATAGAAATTTTCTCAAACAATGTGAGGAAATAATAAAAGACTAAAGAGAGGGAGATGTTTAATAGAAAAAGTAAAAAAGAAATATTAAAAGTAATATTTGTCGTGTTAGGACAATTTCTAAAAGAAAATGTTATTGTTTTTTCAGGTACATTAATAGTAGACTGCTGAACTTCTGATGATGTGTTTGAATGTATATGCTTAGAATAATAACGCATAGAAACCTAGTCCGCACACGCTAAGTGAGGCAAATTGAAGCGCTCCCAAAGGGCCTACACGAGCGGGCGGGCCTTCAGTGCTCAAGGTCAACTTGCACCGCGAACAACTCAAGAATTTTAGCTAAAAACGATGAAATGTGCGGTAAACATAAAATAGATACTAACATCACATTCCACAAGGAAGTAACGCGTTTCAACTTGTATTTTTATATAAATATTCACTAAAACCGAAATTTAACCTACTACTAAAACTAGCCTACATGAATTTGATTTTTGCCTCACTTGTGACAGTTCGTTTGATTGGAAATTATCATTATATGAGTTATTATTCTAAGTGTATATGTATTACTGTATTTTCGTTATCGCTCTTCTGATTAGCGTTCATTTTCGCGACCAAAATAAAAAAGACGAAAAAACAAAAGAATATCAAAACACTTTAGTTTAAGTGTTACCTTTTTTTTCTTTTTTGTAAGTAAGCGGTATAAGTAGGTATTTTTAATTCTCGCAATTATGAACACTGGGCAGCTGGATGTACGAGTTTTTCTTTTGCCTGTTCACATAGTTCATTATGTAACGCAAACATTTTCGAGCATGTTTGAGTAAATCATATTTAAATACATGCCTTAGTTATATAGTCCCACAAGGTTCTTAGTGTTTAACAAACCTGTATAGATACTAAAGTACTAACTGTTTGCTCTCGAGTTTATACCCTTGCGGGCAAACAATGCGATGGCACCGGAAGCTTCCTCTGGTGTTCAGGCAGACGTCACTGGTGCCCGCGTACTGACCTCCTGTAGCGCAAGTTGCTTCCCCAGTTTCGCATTCATCGATATCTGTAGAAATTTATACGGTGAGATTTTGTTTAAATAAATTCCTGTGCAGGCAGTACTTGTTAGGGTAAACCGCGTATAACATTTAAAAATGCAAACAATCAATTTTAGAATGTTTTCTGTTTTTAATTACAATTTTTTTAATACACTTTACATATAGTGCAACACAGACGGCTCTATTAATTGCTTGGTATACACTCAGCTTGCCAGTCTGATGCAGCAAGCGAATAGCTTTAAGGGTAAGCCTGAAAATCGGCAATGCTGAGTCTTCATCCTTTTTGTCCACATTACGGGTCTTTTGTATAATTGTTCGATTATGTTTGTTTATGTGTTTTGTGGATAAATAAATGTATTTTTGTTTATTTTATTTATTTATCAGATCATGGGAATAGGCTTGCGCAGTTTCGAGTAACGGTATTCATTCCGGGGCACAAAACCAAGCCAAAATTTAAAAATTTCGGATCGCCGCGATATTCATTTGAAGCATCATAGACAGAGACAACTTTAGCAGTACAGTTAAAGCAGTACAATCTAGACAAGTACACGGGGTAGATGCGGAGGTGGCGGCGCCATTCACGCGCGCCCTTGCTATTCTCAATCGAGTATCTGATACATTGACTCAATGATATTATATAATTGACTTATTTTATTGCACTTTGAGTGAATTCAATTTATATGTCTTCTCTAACGAATTAGGTTTTTCTGTAATGGTAGGCTTAAGTTGTAATGTACAAATAAATAAATAAAACTCGAGAAAGCTAAAGCCGGATTTACATTTATCTGACGTGTCGTGTCGTGAAGCGTCAGAACGGTATTTTCACGTCAAATTATGACACACTAGTACAAAATTATATTCTGCCTCCGCGGTCGAACGGATACCATGGTGGATTGCCACGCAGAGGTCCTGGGTTCGATTCCCCAGCCGGGAGAAATATGTGTACGGCCTACATTTATTTCGCTCGTCTATGTGTGTGTCCATTGCACCCGTGATACAGGGTTTTTAGTGTGGGGGATATAAAAAAAGCTAACCATATTATATGTATGAAGCCGATACAATTCTGACGCGTCACGACACGACACGTCAGACAAATGTAAATCCGACTTAAACAGGTCATTACCATGAATTTTTGTATACAACAACGTAGAAGCTGTGTAGTAGACCTTTAGTGTAAATTGAAAGTTATGTTGTAAAACAATATTATGCCCCAGTTCGCCCACATGTTAGGACATTATACACTAAACCTTACCAATACAGCTTTTCTTATCTTCAGACAGCCTGTAACCTGACGGGCAAGTGCAGCGGTAGCTGCCGGGTTCGTTTAGGCATTTCCCCACGCACAAGATCCTGTTCTTGTACTCAGTGCACTCGTCGACGTCGTTACATGTGCTGTTAACAGAAAAAGAAATGAAAAATTATATATTTTGAGTTACTTTCATCACAAATCTATAAACATCTGATAAAGAAACGCGTTAAATGCAAAAATTTTAAAATTTTTGATCAAAAAAGGAACCGACCTCAAAAGTTCGTAAAATTACATCTATTTGCTAAATTTTATTGGAATTGGTTAACGGAAAGTGCGCGAAACCGAATTCATCCCCTAGTTTGTCACCCTTAGAGGTCGAATATTTTCTTCAAATTTAAATAGGACCAATACTGAGGCACCCTCTTTCCAACAAAAAAGAATCATCAAAATCGGTTCACGAATACCAGAGTAAGGGTGAGGCCAGACGAGCTTAATTTTGTGAGTTGTGAGTTACGTTTTCTCGACCGAAATTCAGTTGGAGCGCCAGACGACCGTATTTTATTCAGTTGCTTTTAAACGTTTATAGCGTGTTTGTCGTAATAGGAGTAAACCTACCAGTCCTAATTACGCCCGTAAGTCGGCAGATAACTTATTTTGCGTCGTCGTGTGAAACAAACCGTACTTTTTTTATGAAACCAAATGCAGCTCAAACTACGCAACTCAAACTACGCGACTCACAACTCACAAAATTATGCTCGTCTGGCCTCACACTAAGTCGGTTAAAAAACAGGTAGATATTGTTATGTACTCCGTAACTAGCGCTAGCAAATGCTGTCACATTTAAAACTAATAAAACCCAATGAGTGTAAGTAGAACGACATGTCTTTCCGTGAACGGGAAGCATGATTTAAGTGAACGAAAAAAAGAGTAGTAAATAAATTAGGGCGCCTTCAAATTAAGCGTTTGAAGAAATGCTGTTGAAAGGCTCGGTACACATCATTTATTGTAAAATAGGAATAGGAAGAAAGGTAAAGTAAAGGCTGTAACAAAACAAAATAACGGTACCTATAAACCTGTGCTTATACCGTTACTGTACCTGTGTTACCTGTGTTATTGTACCTGTGTACAATCATATACAAACTCTCTCTACATGAATTTCAATGGTAACTGGTCAGAATTTTATAATATGAAGTCGAGCACGTGTGCTCGCTTCGGAAATTTAATAGAGAGTGGCGACGGGAAAAATAAAAGTAAGAGTAACGAAGACAACGAATTAAAGTACGGTTCCAAATTACTGACTATGACGGAAACCCTTGCCTGAGAGGAGATCCGTGCCAGCAGGGACAAATATATGGGTTGATGATTATGACTGAGATCGTTGCTGTCCCTAATTATTTAGTATTATCGACAACCAATCTTCTTTTTTTGGACAGTGTCTGTTAACAACTAGATATGAGAAGGAGCTTAACACGAACCTGTTATTATCTGGATTGAGTCTGTATCCTCTATGGCAAGAGCATCGGTATCCTCCCCACACATTGTTACAGCGATGCTCGCATAGAGATCCTGCTGGATGCTCTGTACATTCGTCCACGTCCACGCATACCTGAAAAAAACAGTCAAAGTGTGTTAAATTATTCCAAAAATATATTCTATATACTTGTTTATTTGCTCTTTGCATCAATAATAACAAACTAGCGGAATATTTTCGCAGGTAGTAAATACATCATGATATTCAATACTATATTGTAAATTAATATAGCGACATCTCTGTCAGTTTTCTGGTAGCTGTAAAGGTACCTGAATTAGTAAAGAAATTTTCATAATATCTCTCGGGTGGACAAAAAGCCATAAACGCCTAAAATTAAGATCCACAAACAGCACTTAGAGACATTTCTCATAATACATAATCCAGTAAGATCGCAGAAATTTCTCAAAAAAAAAAAGATATATATCATGGTAGAACAAACATGATATTCAGTAACTTAGATTCCAACCACTTCTTGGAAAATGTTTACATAAAATTTGGAAGATGAAGTCCATATGTCGCGGTAAGTCCGTGCAATAAATTATGGCATGAATTCCTCTCCTTGGAGAACACCCGTGCCTATTAATCACTACATAATAATAATTATTTAATAGGGTTGATATACAAATTCGGAAGAGTGGGATAACAATGGTGTCAACTTGTCCTATCTGATATTTGCAGATGATCTCGTTCTATTCTTCAGATCTTTAGATAATGGTACAACAGCTTTTTTAAGCCTCCGTGAGTGTGGGCCTAAGGATGAATATATCCAATACGAAAGTTAAATGGCGAATGTCTCCAGAATCACAAATCCTACAGTTAAAATAGGAAATTAGAGCTGAAGCTATGAAGATAGTTGACCATATCTTTTATATTATATTGTTATTTAGTAAAAAGCATTAGCGAAATGAGATCACAGATTACCGAATGCAGTCCGCACTCGGTAATTTAGATGACATCTTGATATCGGTTGATATTCCGCAGTATTTGAAGACCTGCTTTGATTCCTGCCCACCGTGACTTACGGTACCGAGACGTGGTCGCTCACACAGAAGGATGTATACAGAATGAGAGTTACACAAGGAGCTACGAAACGAGTCACGCTCTGCATCCAACTCATAAATCGAATTCCAAAACCCTAAGATGAACTAAGGTCCGGGACATAGGAGATTGGATAACAAACTTAAAATGCCGCTGGGCAGGACATATTGCGAGACGTGGTGAAGACAGCTGGAGTTAAGCGATAACCGAATGGTGGCCAAGATATGGTTATAGAAACGTGTGAGATGGGTGGACAACATTGTCAAAGTTGCAGGCCGTAGATGGGTGAGCCGGCCCTGGGGTTAACACTTGTTCTTTGTCCGATATCCGTCCAAACAATTGCTGTCAAATGAGTAATACTCGACCAATTTAAAAGGTGCAAGATGCGAATGAAGCTTCATACTTGACATTGTTTTTTGCTTTGGTCGTGTATTACTTACTTGACAGTAAGTTGCTTCGGACTGTTGTACAATGGAGAACTCGAGTGATCCCCTGGATCGTGGTGAGTGGCAAATTACGAGAGACCTATACTCAGTAGTATTGAAGTCAGGCTGTGGATGATGACGGTGATACAAATTCAGCGCTGATTTAACTATTTTTTTTACAGAATTGTGTAAAAAATACGTATGAAATTATGTACTTTGTTATAATTATTAATACAAAGATACACTTAGAAAAAAATCCTTTGATCCGGCCGGATTCGAACCGATAGCAAACCGTGCCAGATACTATGCCAACTAAGCCACGGAACGAAACAGCAAACCTCACGAATTTTTCAATGTACTTGTTGTCGAATCTTTATATCTGATTTTCAGCAACTTTTTAGCTGTAGCGCCATCTATAAGAAATCTATGAAACTATTTCGTCACCCAGTTA